GAGTTATCTGAGCATCAGGACGTGGTGCCGGGTGCGGTCTGGTAGCTGCCGCGGTAGGTCCTTCCGGCGTCGGGGGTAGCGAAGGCGGTGCGGCTGCGGGCGTGCATGCTTCTCCTCCCGAGCTGGAGGCACTTGCGCCGAGTGCGTTGTGGAATGCGTCTGTCATCTTTGTTGTTTCGTCGGTTCGTAGTTTTGAGAGAAATCTTCGAGCTTCTCCCCTACCTAGCGCGCCAACTATTGATCCTCAAAATCACACAAGTACGTATTCGGAGTCTTAAGGGCGAAAGAAGAATCTCTTATTTAAAGAACGAGCCGACAATTGCAAAAATAGACGAGCTAAAAACTTAGAGTACGAGCCGAGCCGCAAAGTGCTCTGACGGTTGTACGATATTCTCTGTAATAGCGGTTATTTCGGGATCCCCTCTCCAATCATTCTTTTTTCTATTTATAGGGTACAGGGGTAGGGTACCCTGTGCGTGTAAAATGTCTTTTTTGCCCTCCTGGTCGGTGGAGCATCTAACGGGCCTTAAACGGGCCTCAGGTTATCTTTTAAGAGTGCTGGGACGTGGGAATGATGGGCCTTCAAAAGGGGTTTGGGCCCGAGCCCAAAACCCACCATCAATAGTGATCTTCTCTTTGTGAGATGTCTAGATGTTATGGTTTGATGCACAAACTATATGTGCTCTTTCCTAGAGGAGTAGTAGCCCAGACGAAAACAACAGAGGTTTGGTATGTGGAGATTGCACTCGAAACAACTGAAGTCGAGTGGTGTGATGTTCTCATTGATGGTTTGGTTTCTCTTTATGAAATGTCTTAGCTATTGTGGTTTGATGCACAAACTCTCCCCCATTTACGCATTCATAGAACTTGTCGTTTAATTGTTTTCTTTTCATAATCCTAAATTTCATCTTGTGTTAGAAAATTGTTGATTTAAAAGTGAAAATGTATTTGCTTTTTATCTTGGTTTTGTGCATTGAGAGTTTAAGGGTGTGAATGGTAACACTAAAAAAGGCGTTTTTTTTACCTTTTTCAGCAAATCCGTCAATTGGTCACCATTCACCATTTTTTGAACAGATTTGCGTTTTTCAAAAAAAAAAAAAAAAAAAAAATTTGCGGAATTGTCCAGCGGTTAAAGCCTTGGACCGCCTTTTAAAAAATTTCTGGTCATTATCCAGCGGTTTTCAAAACCGCAGCAACAAATAATACAACGGATAATAAAACATGCTTTTGCATTTTAAATAATTAAAACTACTAGTACATATACAGCTTTTTTCCCTTTTTTTTTTGTTTAACAAAATACATATCTACATATACATTTTAGCAGTACTTTTTTGTTTTAATTCATTTGGATCCGGGTTTTGACCCGGTTTTAATTTGTTCGGATCCTGGATAAGAGATTTAAGGAAATTTGTAATAAAAACAATCTCATAGTTGGCCAATATTAATTCGCAGAATTCAGTTTGTTATTATTACCTAAACTAATTGCCACATTAATCGTAACTTAATAACTTTATTCTCTAATTGATTTCGAATATATTCACAATCTAAACTAATTAATATCACATATCTTATCTCATCTATTGTTCCTTTAAATTCTACTATACAATCTTTTAAATTCGTCAATATGGCTCTAACAATTCAAAGAAAGAGTGGTTGGATTAAAATCCAAACTAAAAACAAAACAAAATCACAATTCAAAGAAAGAGTGGTTGGAAAATAGAAGTTTAACTAATTATATATATATATATATATATATATATATATATATAAGTTCTTAATTTAATTTGTTTTTGCAGGAAAATAGAAGTTTATAGCAATCCTCTTTTGATTTGATCTTATTTTTTAAGCATGAAAGTATTATTGGAGAAAGAGTAATGTGGTGTACTACTTAAGCAAGGATCAACAATAAAAATGTTTTAAAAACAAAATATATATGTAATTTGATCACATTTATTATATAATAATTTTATGAATTACAGTTAGTTTTGATCCGTTTTAATTTCTTATTATGTAAAACAAAAATATTAATGAAAAGAGGTTAATGACAAAATCAAAAAAAAAAAAATTGAGTAATGGAAAGATATTCCAAGATTTTTTCATATTTCCATTAATTATAACAAAATCCCTTAATTATCGCATTGAATGCAGATTATTTAAAATGATTATACAAACTCAAAATAGAAAATAATCTTTTTCAAATCCCTCAATATTTGGAAACCTATTGTAATTAATATCGATTTATCAGTAACAAATAATTATTTCTTAATTCAAAAATTCTTCAAGAATATTGTTTCATGCGGGTTGATTTTTTTTAATAAACAATAGGTTATATCAATAGATAATCTTAAAAAAAAATCGATTTTTTAAAAAGAAACATAGCCCTTGAGTTTACTACTATTTACGATGGCATCCCATTGGCATTTATTATTTAGATTTTCAAAATTACATCAAAGATATTAACCTAAACAATCATTGCCGAAAAATCTTTACAAAATATATTTATTAGCCATAACTATCCTTGCTACAATTACATCCATACTGCATTGTTATAATATTTATTTACTCAAAAAAATTACAAACCAAAAATATCATTTTTGACATATATAAAATTACTTATATTATTTAAAAATATTATAATAAAATGCAAACAACAAAAGAAATTAAATTTAAATCCGCCATATATCGTTACTTAATGAACTGTATGTTTTCATTTCTATATTTTAAAAATTGAAACCTAAAACATACTAATCGTACACTAACACTAAATAATATATAGATATATATGTACATTTTTTAAAAAAAACTATTGGTTATATCTGTAGATAACCTTCAAAAGATTTAAATTTTGACTTTTAAAAATAAAATATAGCCCCGCGGTGTACCGCGGGTCAATTTCTAGTACATGTTAAAACACAAACATGTTTTATTTTTTTATACACAAACACAAACATTTTAATATCTTTCATAACAAATACAAACTTCTCTTTTATACACAAATACAAACTTTAACATTTTTTTTTGATAATTTTTCTTTAAAAATTTATTCTCAAGTCTCCCACATTTTCAGGTAATATTTTAATTTATAAATGGTGACTCTTTGCCCAAAAAAAAAAAAAATGGTGACTCTAATATTTTGTGTCCATTTAAAAAAGTGATGCAACTATTTTCATCATTTGTTATTATTGATGTTAATTTGTGTCATTTGAAAAAAAAAATTAAAATTTTGCATTAATCAATGTAAATGATGTTAATATTTAAATAGGTTATGAAAAATAATATGAATTATTGTGTATCTTTTGTAAATTATTTAAATATATATATATATCATTTATGAAATAACCGATGATATATAATATATGAGATAATATAGAATAGATGACATAGAAGCCTACTTGTAAATGATTTAAATATAGAATAGATGACATAGAAGCAACGGAGATAAGAGATGGAGAATATATGAAGCAAATAAGAGATAATATTGCAAATATGTTATGGGAAAATCAAAGTAATAGATAATACTTTTTCATGTGTTGTACTTTTTTTATGATAAAATTATTCAACGGATTCAACAATATGTATGTTTAAAAATTAAATTTATATTTTATCAATTTGTGTATTAATGGTTTATAAATATCTGTTATTGTTTATTTATTAACAAAAAAAAAAATTAATTATTAATTTATATATATATTTATATATAAAACCGCACTTATCCCGCAAATAGCTTTTTCACCAATCAAATAGTATTTCGTACCGTTTATTTTATACAAACCGCACTTGTCCCGCAAATATATTTTTCCCGCACGTCCCGCAGTTGAACCGTACCGCACTATAATACCGCACTTCTCCCGCACCGCAAAACGCGGTTACCATTCGGAGCCTAAGAAGCAAATGTGGACAACATTCTGCCATGTCATCTCTCCTTATAATTTTTACAAATGAAATTATTGTACCTAGTTAGTAATTCATATAAATAAATCAGAGACCAACAATAATAATTCAAAATAGAAAGTCCAATTTTTAAATGAATTTAGTAAATATTTGTCTACAAGATAATAAGAAAAAAATTGTACTATTTATGGATTTATTTATTCAACAGAACTCATAATTATAAGAATCCCGAGAAGAACAGTTGTGATCAAAATGGCAGAAACCACATGGCCATGAATCGTCTTGTCTGTACGATGATTCACTATTTTCTTATAAAATTTTGATTCTACATTATTGTCGCAAATTTTTTGGCCTTTTTGAATAATGATAGTGAATTTAAAACAATATGCAAACCTTTAATATTCAACATACATATGGAATCAACTTGCGGGAACGAATATGTCGCCCTTTACAGTAAGAAATAATTAATTAATTTTGACTTATCATATGAAGTCTATAAATTTAAAAGAAAAAAGCTAGTTAGTCTACTCTCATATATAACGTATACAATTCCTTCTTCCTTTTTTCTTTAGAAAGACCAATTCATAGCTACTGTTGAGTTCTGGCAAATATTCAACCTTCATTGTTAGGACTATTGATGACATGTGATCACCAAAAAAAAGGACTATTGATGACATGTTAATATATAGAGATAGAGAAAAATATGTCGCCATATTTTGCAATGACTAATAGACAATTCTTACTAACTAGGATTATAATTTTGAATATATCTAAACTCTAAAACAAAATATATATATATATATAGGTAGTCGATGCCGTTTATATTAGCATTGTGAAAGTGATACGAATTATATATTTTCCATCTTAGTTTTATTCGCGTGGAGGAAACTAAACTGCAACAAAATATACAGGTAGTCGATGCCGTTTATATTAGCAAGTGAGACCATCTACATTCGGCTCACATTAGCAAGCAAGTTGCATAATCCAATGAATGCGACCAAAGACAAATTAAAATCCCTAAGCCAAGAAACCAATTACTTCACAACAAGCAAACCCAAAACGCAATTTAAGTGTTTAACCTAAACATTATATTTTGGATTTTCTTCTTCTCAAGTAACCAAATAAATATAATTTAATTAGATAGTACTACAAGACATGTCGGGGATTTATCCAATACACTCCCAAACGGGAAGAAAAAAAAACTCCCAACAGTGGATAAAAAACAAAAAACAAAAAAAACTCCCAACACTAAACCGGTCAATTAATGAAAATAAAACAAATTGAACCGGCCGGTTAAGTAATCAAGCTTCTAAAAAACCGGTCATCTTAAGAACGGAGTTCCGGTGACGGCTCAAGTCTCTTCCTTTTAGAGTACAAACGGAAAACGCAATTTGCTCTTTCATTCTTCTTTCGATAATTACATGTGGAGGAGTCTTATCTTCTTCCTCCTCCTCCGTCGTGTCCCATTTAAAATATCGAAAATTATTCGTCGGAATTCTCACCGGAGATGTTTTCTCCGCCGTCACCTGCCGTCTTGTACCCTTCTTCTCGTCGTTTCTTGTGTTAAAGAGTTTAGTTTTCTGGATTTTGGATTGGTCGGAAAATATAATATCTGATTCTTGAAATTCTTCCGACATTATTGTAATATCAAAAATGTATATTTTTCGAGAAGACTAGAGAGAGTTAAAGAGAGATGATATGATCGATGAGGATGGAGAAGAAAAAGATAACAATGAGGAAATATGAAATATATAGACCGATTGAGACACATATGTGGCCATATAGAGCATCGTATGTCTTATATACACGTAAGAATCACGTATAAAAATGTAAATGTATGTGTTTGTATGTATACGTGTACGTATAAGCAAATCTAGTATTTCAATATGATGATGTCATTAGGATATCTTTGGGTGAAATCATAATTCTACAATATGATTCTTTGTCATCACTCAAGTTTTCATTGCCGTGTATAATTAATTATTTTGATTTTAGTCATTAATTAGTTATTAATGATTTCTATTGTGTTTGAATTTTAAAAGGAAACTATTCTAAATTTACACTTTCTTTTACCATGAATAAATCATCATACATTGTAGAATTACTACAACATGAATTATTATTTGATTCATATTAGGTTATTTATGAACCAAAAAGAAAAATAAAATTGTAGAATGACTAAAACATGAATTATATTTTTATTCAATTGTGTGCTAATAACATCTTATTGAACCATGTAAGTATTCTGTCATCTTATTGAATTACCAATTGAGAATCTTAATTATTAATGAAGAAGATCTGATCATCTGATTAATTGAGTATCTCCAACAACAAAAAGTCACAATGACTGATGATTAAGCTACGTCGGTGAAACGCAACCAGAGCGGCGCGTCCGGAGGATTACGCGTTTTCAATCTCAACGTCACGCGTGTACGCGGTTACACGCTTAAATCCAATTCCATCCACTCATATCCATACACGTGTATTAGTACAAGGTTAGGGCTCTTCAGTGCCACGTTTTTGTTTTTGTCCAACACAACACAACACAAGAGTCCCTTTCTTATGCGTTTACGTGGCGTCGTTCGCTAACGGCATATATTCTTTTATCTCATGAAACAGACGAATTGCGAGGCAAATTTAGGAAGTCGTAACACGACATGTTGAAGATTAAAACAAGTTTCTTGAAATATTATAGATCATTTTTGGCAGGTTTAGTGTTTCAAGAAATAAAATGTACATTTGTATTCAAAATATAACACGAGAGCTAGATAATGATTCAGAGTTTTATTTCTTTCTTTCAGTTACCCAAATAATGATTAGAAACGACTGATCAGTGATCACACTCTAGTAAAATTCGAAAATACTAAAACCACCCAAAGAAGAAAGAATCAAACTAAGGAAACAGAAATTGGACTCCTCACAACATGAAGTCCATCGGTCCAACTAAACCATCCAAACCGATATCGATCCCTCCGAGCCTCACCTGTAAACCCGTATCCCTGTGTCGTAAAAATGATGTTAAACCGCTTCTTCTGACCAATCCGATCAAAGACCAAAACATTTGGTTCAGCCTTAACAATGACACCATACGGCGGTTGAGCGTTGAAGACATATACGCTTGTTGAATTACCCGGTCGTCCAACACATGTGACCGTCCTCGTAACGGCCACTGTTCCAGTGAGATATGGAATTGAGATTGACGGGTAATTTAGGTTATAACCGGGAGGAATTCTACTTGGACATTTGAATGTCGGGTCAAGATTGGTTAAACCAACCGAACAACAGTATAGAAGGTAAGATTGGTATGATGCATCGTAGACTAAACCGGGAGATGCAGCTTTTGTTGGACTAAAATGTCCTGACCCAAGCGCAAATGGGTTTGCGGGTGAACCATCATAGTCTTGGATTGGTTCATTGTCCTCGTTGGTCATCGAAGCTACAAAAAAAACAAAGGTTCATTGGTTTAGTAATAATCTGTGCCGACTTTCTTAGCAAAAAAAAAAAAAAAATCTGTGCCGACCCGAAATCGTACCAAAAATTGGTTTAGTTATTTTGAACCAACTAAATAACCGAAAGTTTTTGTTACCAGTGGTCATGAGGGCAGATCTTATAGCAGCACTACTCCATGAAGGGTGCATGCTTTTGAGAAGGGCAATTGCACCAGCAACATGAGGACAAGACATAGAAGTTCCTGAGTCGAGATTATAACCTAAAACTCGTCGGTCTCTCGAATCTTTGCTCGCTGAATCCGCCCCACTCCACGCGGCTAATATATTAAGTCCTGGCGCAATAATATCCGGCTGTAAAAAACCAACAAAAAGGGTTGTGTTGAGTTGAAAAAAAATATTTGAAGTCACAAGAACAAAAGAGTTTACCTTTAGAATGTTAGCATCTACCCAATTTGGGCCTCTACTAGAAAAACTAGTCATAAAAGGAGCCGGTTTGTATAGGTAAACTGAATCTTCCGGTTGGTTTCGGTAAAGTACGGTTTCTGCCGGTTTAATGAAAGCAACCGGTTCATAAGTATTGTAGATGTAGTCGAGAATCCTATCGACCGTGGATGAGAAAACCAAAACAGTTGGTACGAAATGAGACTCAACGTCGAATGCATCGTTATCCCGAGCATTTGCTAAAATCATACCAACTCCTCCGGCTCGCTTTACCTCAATACCTTTACCAATTGTTGAACCTGAACCGTAACCTCTCAAACATAGTACCACTTTACCTCTCACAAGATCCGGTGAAAGTGAATTCGGTAAACATAGCCTTGATCACCACACAACAAAAAAAATACTATTATATAAGCCAAATAATCTAAAATTTGTAACAAAAGTAAAAATTTTTTTTTTTTTTTTATCTAACATTAACATCGCCATTCATCCTTTGATAAAGAAGGTAAAAACTTACAATGCGTCGTTCCTTGAAACGCCGGGAACAACCACGTCAGGAGCGTAGACTAGAGGAGCAAAATTGTCCATCTTTAATGTTGTTAATGAGTCCGACTAGAAAATAAAAAACTTCATGATGTTAACTTCATTATACACATACAATATTAATTAATAGAACTAAGTTTATATCAATACTAAAAAATTATATTGAAAGAATTATACTCAAAATGCATATATCACATAGTTCCCTATTTACCTACCAAATTTAAGATTGTCATAATTCACAAAAGCTATCTAATAATAATTTAGCGGGGAAAAGATAAATTATTATTAGATAGCTTTGTGAATTATGACAATCTGACGAAGACATGTTTTTGGATTCGAACCACAATTGTCCTTGTAATGTATATGGTTTAATAAGTTGTAACGTTTTGATGTTAGGTTTATTACCTCGAATATATAGCCATCACCAAGTTCAAGACGGCCTACGAAAAATCGATCAAGACTACTAGCTCCCACGGTAATAATCCACGGAGCTGGATTCGACAGAGTTTGCCCCGCCGGTCCATCATTTCCAGCGCTAGCCGCAACCACAATATCTCTTTTAACCGCGTGTAACGCTCCTATCGCGATTCCATCCTCCATATACGTATGAGGTTCAACCGCTCCAATAGAAATACTGATAACATTGACACCATCAGCAATCGCATCGTCAAACGCAGCCAACATATCTTCATCAAAACAAGTGTTTGTGGCGTATTTTTCCGTGTTTGGAATCGCCCAACAAGCTTTGTAAACAGCAAGACGAGCCAATGAGGCGCCGCCTGAAGCCGTGCCCATAGCAATACCGCCGAGAGCAGAAACACCGTTTACTCGGCGACCAACGCCGGTTGAAGCTGTGTGGGAACCATGTCCATCAGCGTCTCGTGGAGACAAGAAGTCTTTGTTAGCTTCGGCATTGAACGGTCCGTAATATCTCTCGTACCCTCTTGCGTAGTACCTTGCTCCGATAATTTTCCTGTGATTATTGATTAATGACGTTAAAATCGAAAATGATGATAAGCATTAATAATAGGGATTTTAGTCTAATGTGCCATAGCAAAACTTACAGAAATTGCCACAAAACATTTGTCTTTCCAAATGTGCCATAATGGTGGACAAGACTTTGAACCAAAATTTTTTGGTAGACAATGAATGTTGTCCAAACAACAGATTGAAAATATATTTGGTGGACAAAAAATCTTATACACCTTTGAAACAAAGGACTTTTAGAGGACAAGAATTCGAAACGACATACAAAAATTTGGATAGACAAGAAATGTTGTCCACCATTATGACACATTTGGAAAGATTTATATGTTTTGTGACATTTTTGCTAAGTTTTTTAACAGTAAGTGACACATTAGTTAGATTTCTCTTAATAATAACCATTTCTAAAATGCTTTCTAATCTAAAAGTAATAATCGTAATTAATTAATAATAACCATTTCTAAAATGCTTTCTAGTCTAAAATGCTTTCTATTGCCCACATTAAGATTTATATGATATTTGTGGAAAATGTGAGTGTTAAATTTTCTCAGGCATATATATCATATATATATATATATATATACAATATGTATGTACTAGTGTACATATATTTCGACTAATTTCAATCAAAAAAATTGTAAGTTAATTTGAAGATTTGACATATTTGGTGAAAATGTTCATCTATACTAGTATTTTTGCAACACTTTGGTGACGGATGGGTTAAAATTCTTTTGGGTTAATTGGATATCCGACCCGTTTCAAAAAATTCTTCACAAAAAATTTGTTGGGTCGGGTTATAATTAACCCAACTCATACACCGGATATTCCATATTTAATAATTTAGATATTTAGAAGATTTGATTGAGATTTATAATTATGATTCTCCTATCATCTTTGTTTGATTTGTTTTTAACTGTTTTGAATCATCATATAATACATAAAGTTAAAAAAAAAATCATTTTTTTCTGTATATATTGTGATTCGAAATTTTAAAAATGGAGATATATTATCCAATTGACGAAAATGTGTGTTCAACGTTCTACATCGATTAAAATATTTAGACAATGATTCAGAATCATATCATAAATAAGAATATTAATAAAATAAATAAGTTTTTTGGCGGGACGGGTTTTTGAATCAACAATAATAAAAATATTAAAATATCATTAATCCGCCGCTTCAATACGGATTAAATCCTTATTTTTTTTAATACCACAAATATTAGACATATTAAATCAATCTTATTTAGAAAAGATTGTATAAAACCAAAAATTGTTCCGTGGTATAATGTCACGAGGTCTTAGAGGATGATATGATTTGTAAACTTTTATATATAATAAATAATCATTAAATTTCAAAATAAAAACAAATCACGGGACGGATTAAGAAATTACGGAACGGATTATTTCGGAAAGGATTTATATGGCGGACGAATTTGAATCAATATTTATATACCGCTTTAATACGGGTTCAATCCTCAGATTATTAATAATTGTCTCGTGGATTCGTGGTATACTGTTACTTAATAACAATTGTAAACTATAATATAAATAAATATGTTATAAGGAGATACAATTTACAAAATATTTTTATATTAACTTTAAAATTAAATCATCCCGCGGCTTAAAGTAAAAAACTAAGGAAAAATAGTTATGTAGCCGAGCTCATGATAAGGACATTGTATATTATATATTTTAAAAAATTAATGAAGATATATCTTTATTAAAGAAAACAAAACAAGTTTTTATTACCGATTACAGTGGGAAGAGTTGAAGGAAACACCGGTTTGGCAGATTCCTTTCCAAGATTCTGGAATTGGTCCCATTCCTTTGTCATCGAAACTCCTTGATTCTGGCCACACCCCTTTTATCTCCCCAAATATAAACAAATTATTCTCCCAATTATACAATATATTCAACAAACTAAATATTTTAAAGATTTTAGTAACCGAGTATATATATTTTGTGGAAAAGACTAGTTTGTTAACAGAAAATATGTTTTTGGTTAAAGATAAAACAAAAAAGTAGGTTCACTAGTTATTCAAAATGGTTCACAAACATAAAGTATGGACAAATAAACTTCTTAGAAAACTTACCACTATCGATAACACCAACTATGACCCCATCGCCGTGTTTTGCATTCTTCAAGAACTTTCTTCCGACACGAAACCGGTCACTCACATCATATTTGTGACGTGGGGCATCACCATCACTACGATAATCTTCGCCTTCTTCCTCCTTTAACCCTACAAATTCCCATGATCTTGTCGTATGGATCTTATACTTTCTCGGATCGCTCTTGAATACCGATATAACTCCTTTGAGTTCTATAACAATAAAAATGAAAAACAAAATAGCTTTAGCTAGTACCATTTTCAGTCATTAGCAAAATGTATACTTAGTTTCACTCAAAATTTTTAGTTTTAAGGGTTTTACGTACCTTTGAGTCTAGAGGCTTGGTCCAGTGTTAGCTCAGCCGCGAAGCCATTGATGCTATGCTTGTAGCTATACAATAGCGAAGATTTGGCATCTTCTTCGGATTCTTTAACAGATTGAAGATAAGAGTGATGATGAGCTTCAATTTCATGAAAGGCTTTATCACCTTTATGTTCTCCAAAATAAACAATATACACCTACAAAAACCAAAAAAAAAAAAAACGTTAATGTGAGGAATTAAGAAACTATGAATTTGAATATTTAAATTGGAAATGATATGAGATTTGAACACCTTATGGTAACAGACTCAATGCATGAAATTGATATTCTCTGCAAATTAAAGTGTTGAACAGATAAATTAAAAATTTTAACAGAAATTAACCTGTTTCTCTTTAGTGCATGAAGCTAAGAGAGGAAGGAGAAAGAGAAGAAGGGATAGAGAAATTCGTTTCATGGCCTTAGTTTTTTTGTTTTGTTTTGGTTTGGCGAAATGTTATAACCCTAATGCTTTATAGGTGTTTGATTGGCTATTTTACATTCGACAAAGAGCATCAAATTTAAAATGGTCCAACCAACTAATTATAGAAGTTTGATTGTTTTTTTAAGATTTATGCTAGTCTACAAATAAATTTATCAAATTGATATTCACCGATTGCTTTGAAAACAGATCATTTCATCGTATTAAATTATCTACATGATCTACAAAAAAATCCATTTACCTTAGATTGGGTGGGATACATGAGTATGACTATAGGAATATTCTACAAATTTTGGTATATTATTCAACAAGAAAAAAGAAACATAAATTGAGGGAATCGAAGATCTTAGATAATTTGTTACAATGCCGTCAAAAAAAGAATTCGATAATTTGTTACGAGAATCTAGATACGAATATGTTACAATGCTTCATCATCATATGAAAAAGTATATAAAATGCAAAAACAAATGTTGTGTTTTTTTTCTTCTTTTCAAAATAGTCTATTTTATTAAAGATTTCAATATTGTACTTTTTAGAATTTTAAAAATAGAAATGCTGTAAAATTCTTCTTTGTCGACAAATGTTTTTTCGCAATAATGTAATAAATCTTTTTGTTAGCGTACTCAAAGTGAATACATTAAAAACACAAAATTTTCTGCTAAAATGTATCCAAATTGTTGAGGAAATTCATCACTATTTCTTGGCTTTGTTTATATAGATTTTTTTTTTGTCGGTTATATAGATTTATTTAGGTTGTTAATATTACAAGTCAACATAGTGGTAGGGCTTCTTGTTTAACTCAAACCAGGCCCATGAGTCCATCACTCCGATAACTGCAATTGTTGATACGTGATTTCTTCTACCATCTTCACATGATAAATTGATGAGTGTAAAGAACACAAAAGTGTTTAGGAAGAATTATAATAGACTCTCATAAGAATAAAGTATAAATTACATTCTCTTATATAGAGATGAGATTTCCTAATTTAAGATAAATATAAATGTAAATAATATATTTAGAAATAATGGTAAATATCCTAAACTAAGATATGATAATCTTCTAGATCCTTCTTGATCTTCATGATTTCCATATTCTTGTGCAATCATCTCAACCGTCGATCTTGGTCGATCTCCGGTTCTCCCAATACCCCCCCGGCAAGCTCATACGTGGTTACACGTTTGAGATTGGACAAGTCTTCAGAATAACGGCTTTTATACCCGGTCGTCGGGTCATCATCGACGTTTATACCCGATCGAAGGGTTCAAAGCGGCTACAATACCCAGCCGTTAGGTCATCGACGTTTATACCCGATCGTAGGGTTCAAAGCGGCTACAAAACCCAGCCGTCAGGTCATCGACGTTTATACCCGATCGTAGGGTTCAAAGCGGCTACAAAACCCAGCCGTTAGATCATCGACGTTTATACCCGATCGTAGGGTTCAAGTAATAAAAATAACACCCGCGATTGCGAGGTTCGGATGTTGCTCGCGATGGCGAGACTAAAAAAAACAACTCACGAGGGCGAGTAGTTTAATCAAAAGGAGAAGTTAAACTCGCGAGGGCGAGAAAACATCATTGTTCCCGAAACTGATTTTTTTTTTTCTTTGCGGAAGCTAACATAACGGATCCAAAATCCACAGAAAGGATCTTGTCTCTGATACCATGATAAATTGATGAGAGTAAAGAACACAAAAGTGTTTAGGAAGAATTATAATAGACTCTCATCCGAATAAAGTTACAAAATACATTCTCTTATATAGAGATGAGATTTCCTAATTTAAGATAAATATAAATGTAAATAATATATTTAGAGATAATGGTAAATATTCTAAACTAAGATATGATAATCTTCTAGATTCTTCTTGATCTTCATGATTTCCATATTCTTGTGCAATCATCTCGACCGTCGATCTTGGTCGATCTCCGTTTCTCCCAATATCACAAGTAACAACGATTACATAAGGAGTCTATAGAGTGATCAGAAAAAGATTTTCTATTTCTTTCACTTTGACCTCTATAACATCCAAACCGACTAATAAAACCATCCCAAAAGCAAACAACAATCAAGCTAAGGAAACAGCAATAGGACTCCTCACAACATGGACTTTATCTGTCCAACTAAACCATCCAAATTGGTATTGACCCTTTTCTGTCGCATTCATCACCTGGTTCTTTAGTGGTTTAATAACGATTTTAAACCGCTGCTTCTGACCAATCCGGTTAAAGAACAATACATTCGGTATAGCCTTAACCGAAACACCCGATGGCGGTTTAGCGCTGAATAAGTATGTACTTGTTGAGTTACCATTTCCAACATTTGTAACTGTTCTTTTAACGGTCACCGTCTTGTTGAGATTCGGGACTGCGATTGACGGGTAGTTGTGATTATAACCGGGAGGGATTTTACTAGGACATTTGAATGTCGGGTCAATATTGGTGATATTAACCGAGCAGCCATAGAGAAGGTAAGCTCGGTATGATGCATCGTAGACTAAACCGGGATCTGCAGCTTTAGTTGGTCTGAAATGTCCTGACCCAAGTGCAAATGGGTTTGCGGGTAAACCAGTAGTGTCTTGGATCGGTTTCTTCTTGTCGTTAGTCATCCAAGCTAACAAAAACAAAAAACAGAAATTTAAATAAAAATAATCAAAAGACTATATATCTTAAAAGATTTTGGTTTAGCTAAACCAGACCAGAGAAATAACCATGAAATTTTTTGTTTACCAGAGGTCATAAGAGCAGATCTTATAGCAGCACTACTCCATTTGGGATGAATGGCTTTGAGAAGAGCAATTGCACCGGCGACATGAGGACAAGACATTGAAGTTCCTGAGTAGATGTTATAATCTGCAACTCTTTGATCTACTGACATTTTGCTCGGTGAATCTGCGCCGCTCCATGCAGCCAGTATGTTCAGTCCGGGTGCGGTAATGTCCGGCTGTTAAAACCGCAAAAGAATCAAACCGATTAATTTCGGTTATGAGTCATTTTGGTTTTGTTTTGAGGTTAACAAAGAAAAGAGAGAGGAAGTCACCTTTAGAATGTTGGGATCTAAAACGTTTGGTCCGCGGCTAGAAAACCCGGTCATGGAAGGAGCTGCTTGGTATTTGTAAACCGTTTTCCCTGGTTTGATAAATGCCATCGGATTTTTATCGGTTTTAATGTACTCTAGAATTTTATCGACCACTGTTGGTGTAACCCCGGCAGTCGGAACAAAGTGAGAGTCCGTCGGAATTTCATTGCCGTTAGCCGCGACATTTCCGAGAATCATACCAGCTCCTCCAGCTCGTTTTACCTCTATACCTTTACCGATTCTTGTACCGGCTCCTCTTAAACACAAGACCACTTTACCAGTCACAAGCTCCGGTTTTAGTGAATTTGGTAAACATTGCCTTCACAAAAGAAAAATAAAATCGTTATGTCAAATATCAAATTAAATAAGTTTAATTATCAAAATTAGTTAGTGAGCAAATCTTACGATGAATCGTTTAATGCAATGCCGGGAACAACCACGTTAGCAGCGTAAACAAGAGGTGCAAATTTGTCCATTTTAAATGCCGTTATAGAATTCGTCTAAATAACACAAAAACAAGAATTTATATTATACACAAAAATGTAACATATAATTGAATTTTTTTTCTCATAAGTGTGGACTAGTTACCTTGATTGTATAGCCATTGCCAAGAACAAGACCGCCGATGAAAACCCGATCAAGAGTACTAGCTCCGACGGTTATAATCCACGGTGCCATATTCGACAAAGTTCCCGGCTTTGGCCCTGAATTCCCAGCGCTAGCAGCTACCACAATATTCCTCTTAACCGCATGCAACGCCCCCATCGCGATTCCGTCTTGTAAAAATGGATAAGGCTCGGACGTTCCGATAGAAATGCTGATGACGTGAACGCCATCAGCGATCGCGTCATCGATCGCGGCAAGCATGTCCTCTTCTAGACAGGTATTTCCTTCAATTTTTTCCACATTGGGCTTGGCCCAACAAGCTTTGTATATAGCTAGACGAGCTAACGGTGCACCGCCAGAGGCTGAGCCCATGGCGAAACCGCCAAGTGCGGATGCACCGTAGACTCGACGGCCAACAGCAGTGGAGGCTGTGTGGGACCCATGTCCGTCGGGATCTCGTGGAGACAAGAAGTCTTTGGTTTCTGTAACGTTGAACGCTCCGAAATATCTTTCGTATCCTTTCACGTAATACCTCGCTCCAATAATTTTCCTGAAATTATTGAAAAAATCCATTACGTTATAACCGGTTCATGGAATAATCAATTAAACAATAACTAATTATTTTGTGTCAAATCTAAATTACTTATAAGAAAATAGGAAAATGTTTTGAGAAAAACATCATGACACAACGAAAACTAGATAAGATATATATCCAACTTTAATCTAATCGGAATATAAAAATCAGTAGATAAATGAAATGTCCTTCCAAAAAAAGCGAATATTTAAACAAATGATTTTCAATGTGATATTTAGTGTTTTATACTTTTATTTTTATATAATTGAATTCTTTATTTATGTCTTTAAACATTTGAGATGCCTTTATCAAAAAGATGTACGTAGACACGTAAACTTGGGCACACATTGAGATTATAACATAAGAATTGATGGTAAAAGAAACAAGTGAGAAGTCACGGGTGTACAATATTATCTAGAAAGAAGCAAATAAGTTTTTGTCCCTTACATATATACCAAAGCTTGCATATACAATCAATTATCAAAGTTTCGGTTTCATGCATAAAAATAGCCAATTTAAATGTCTTTTTAAAAATCAATTTATTTGTATTTGCAGGCTTACATAAGTGAACAGTTACAGTGGCTGCAGGAAAAATAATTCGTTAAATAATTTTATATTACTAATATAATAAAAGAATAATGGTGACTCAAAAGAATAATGGTGACTCGTGAATGATGATGATACGCAAGCTTAAAAGTTGGTGATCAATTATCGCAACCGAACAAAAAACATTGAGATTGTGACCAAATGTTTTGGACAGTGGACTCAGAAACTATGACTTCTATGGGAAATGTTGCAAAAACATTTTTTGATAAATGTTGCTAAACCTTGAAAAATTAAAAGAAATCTATGTTATAATGGTAATGATTTTCTTAGAAATAACTTTTATAAAAAACGGTGAAACTAACGATTCTTTTATATTAAATCTGCAGTATTATGGAATGATAAAGGGTGTGTATTTAAAAAAAAAATATATGTTGTATGATGCATCACTTTTGAATCTCTTTGAGATTTACTTACAATGATAATTTTATTGATTTCTAAAACCAAAAAAAAAATAAAAGTTTATTGATTATTCTCTTTTAGTTAAAAAGTTTGAAATATACAAATTATATTGTCGATGACTTAGTGGAGTGACATTATTATCATATTCATGTCAATTGTGTTTACTATTCAAAGCCTGTGATTTTAAATTATAACATAAACTTAAAAGTCGTGACATAATTTCAGAATTCTATCATTTCATAGGTCAAAAAGTTTTTTTAAAACAAAATTTTCAGTCAAAAGTTACATTTTTATATAATTTTGTTTACATAAAGGGTTTAATGATCAATATAGAATAATATATCACATCATCATATAAAAAAAGAAGATTCTCGCAGCAAGCATGAGGTTCTTTGGATCTTTGCTAAAGAACCAAAGCTGATATGGACGTATAATTTACTTTTAATCTATTTTGGACTTCTAGTTCTGGTGTGTGTGTGTTTGTAGTTAAAATTTGTATTTTTGGTTTTATATATTTGGCTCTTTTTGGTTTGTTTTTAATATCTGACCAATTTAAATCATAGAATTTCTATTAAAAATTTGTATTTTCTTAGAAAAAAAAGGAAAATTGTCTTACCGGTTACAGTGAGAAGAGTTGAAGGCAACTCCGGTTTGGCAGATTCCTTTCCATGATTTTGGAACTGGTCCCATTCCTTTGTCATTGAAACTCTTTGATTCTGGCCACACACCTATTATTTCCCCGATAGATAAACAAATCATTCTATCAATAATGACGGATTAATATAATAATGATATGAACCTAACGATTCCAAAAGATAAATTAGTACAAAAAGTTCCTTGAATCTTGAATTCTTGACCATAACGCAACTCTTTTTCTCTAGTCACGTAATAATTCAACTATCAACGTTGGAGTTAGGTCCATTTAAGTTTGGTGTACGTTTTCATCAAAAAGAAAATGTGATTATTCTCAGAATCCAACAATATATTATTTTAACATTTAAAAGTAATCTTATGGCTATTATCTCGGCGCTATTATGTGTGTGCGTGAGGAAACAGAAGACAGAGGAAAATACAAATAAAGGATAACACAAAGGTTGCACAATTCTATTTTTTCATTCATCTTATCCAAATTTCATTAACGGAAAAAAATGCATTAGCTAAATAAACTTAATGTGTGTGCTATTTCCTGATCAAATGTATTTTGCAAAACGAAAAAAATATAGTCAAGTTCATCTTATCCAAATTTCATTAACGGAAAAAATGCATTAGCTAAATAACCATGAACTTGACTATATATATTTTTTTCATTTTGCAAAATACATTTGATCAGGAAATAGCACACACATTAAGTTTATTTTCGAAAAGAATTTCATAGCTATTTACATAATCTAATAAAAAAAGTTATGGTTATTTAGTTTTGAATAATCTAACAGAATTAATCTCAGTTACCCCAAAAATAAATAAATAGATGACACTTAAAACAAAACCTATTTTCGCATTTATAATTAACTAACAGAAAACAATAATTATCTAAATAATTAGTAGAGACAGCTTAACTTACCACTGTCAAGAACACCGACGATGATTCCATCACCATGCTTTGCCTTCTTCAAAAAATTTCTTCCCACACGAAACCGATCATCCGCATCATTTTTTCGACGTGGAACATCACTGTCGGTTTCTTCCTCCTCCAATCCTACAAATTCCCATGACCGTGTTGTATGCGCTTCATATTTTCTTGGATGGCTCTTGAATATCGAAACAACCTCTGCCAATTCTGTTTAAAAAAAACAAAATTGGGTTTAATTAATTAATACTTCATACCCTTTTCAATCATAACAAAATATCAAAAGGGTATCATTCAAAATTTGTTTTCTTTTTTTTTTTCTTACTTACTTTCTAGTTTAGAGGCTTGGTCGGGTGTTAACTCAGCCGCAAAGCCATTGATGCTATGTTTGTAGCTATACAATAGCGATGCTCTAGCGTCTTCTTCGGATTCTTTAACCGATTGAAGATAAGAATGATGATGTTCTTCTATTTCATGTAAGGCTTTATCACCTTTATGTTCTCCAAAATAGACAATATACACCTACCAAAAAAAGAAGATTTTATGAAAATGTCAGGAATTGATTAAGAATTAAGGACATGATCTGGACATTTGAATATTTGAAATTCATGGGAAGCTGCCTATGGTAACAAATCAAGGCATAGTTGGAATTAAGAATCAGTGAACATTAAAGTCTACAATGATTAGTTTGATGACTCTGAAAAGAAAAAAAGAAAGAAAGAAAGAATAGGAACCTGTTTTTCTTCAGCACATGAGGCTAAGAGGGGAACGAGAAAGAGGAGAGGGAAGAGAGAAATTAGCTTCTTCATGGTCTTAAACTTGTATCTTTTGAGTTTGGTGAAATGTTATAGCCCTAATCCTTTCTAGGGGTTTGATGGGCTATTTATAATAGTTGAAGAGCAACAAATTCAAAACGTAAATATAGATATTAAAAAACTATCCTAACTAATTAATCGTGTTGATCTGATAACTGGATGAGTCTTACTCACTACAGGCTATACAGCTTCATGTTGACCACTAGAAACGTTATTAATGGTAAAAAATCTATTTTTATTATCACATATCTTATTTTTAGAAAATTGTTTAGGTAAATTACATACTGATTACGGTTATATTTCGTTTTATCTACCTACAGTCGCATATTACATTTAGAAAAAAAACCATAATTGGGATACTGAGATCTTGGATCCTTCCCCGCAATCTGGGCATAAGCTATTAATAATTTGGTTTGATTTAACAATATATAATCAGCTTGACCAAGGGAAACAAAACAATATATCTATCCAAATATACTCACAGTTAGTAGTATATCTACAGTTATTCATGGTTGAATTGGAGAGACATTCAAGAATGAATAACTTAATCTATATATACATTTTTGGATGACTTTTAGCAAATAAATCCTGGAGTTGGAATGTATTTACAAACAATGCCATTGGAGTTAATTCTTAAGATTTAAAAAAATTAATTAAAGATATTATTCTAAAGATCGTTCCTCAAATCTCCTCCAACTAATTACTTTAAAAATCTCGATAATAACTATTCCGTGATTTACTCTAATCTTCAAATATATTTTGTATGATTTCTCATAATTAAAGATCCATCATTAATTGCAATAATAAATAAAAACAATAATTTCCTTTTACTTTAAAAACTTTCTAACGACAAATGTATTGCAAAATAAATAATTTCCTAAAACAATTACAGAACCTAATAACTGTTGTAGACTTTTTAGGAAAATAATTACGTAAATATATAACTTAAAGATAACAATTACTCATCAAATCTTTTTTTTTTTGTTAATATTGTATCATAACAAGACCTAAATCAATGGACTACTTATTCTCTATATATAAGTGAGGTTATTTAGTCATCAAATCAATGTGCATGGTTCCACTCTCGCCGTCCCTCAGCTCTGCAAATCATTTGCTTCATTTTCTACATGTCTTGGACTAAGGTTCTTCCTATTCTTCTTTGATTTGAATCACTTACATCTCTTTTTTTTTGATAAATCACTCACTTTCATCTTTCTATGGCTTTATGTTTGATAGCCTCACGTTGAATTGAGGAGCTTCCCAGTGTATTCGGAAACTGGTCCTTCTACGTTACCTTAATCTACATGTTTTTGTGTTTGGACAAATGAGGAAATGATTCTGATTTTTATTTTTTTGGTATATTGGTTCATGTTTGAGTGTGAAAATATTTGCAGGGTTAACCATAATCCGTTGTAGCTTCTTAATATTGATTTGGAGATGCTCTTAGTATTGATTTGAAAATTTTCTTTGGTTTGTTTACTAAAGAATATTTAGTGGTTTACCATCAAATGAAAAAATCATGAGATAAAATAACCTTTATAGATTAATCTATATTTATCAATTTTTTGAGTAAATCATTTTCTAAATATATTTATTTTAATGTAGATTAGTTAAATTATGGTTACTATTCGTTATTTGACAAACTCATTTGGCTATATTACTTATTTTAAACCAAACTCATTTTGGCAATAAATAATGTTTATTTATAAATTAGATTAACCCCAAAAAATTATTACCAAATATATAAAGATTATTTATGTCTAAAGAATAATATGTTGCTTTAGATTATTATTATTTATAAGGTTTCAAATATTATAAATATTTTAACCTTATAAGAAGTATAAATTAATAATATTTAAAGTATCTATAATATTTAATTCCATAAAAAGTTTATAATATTAATAATATTTGAACACTATAAAAATTATAAATATTTATACTATGGAACTACTTAAAATCAAGCTTTTAAATTGACTCGAATTATATGTTTTCTAAACAAATGTGTTATTAAAAAAAATGATGTTTAATTTCACGGGACGGGGTTATATGGTGGGACGGGTTTAGATCGATAATAATACCGGAAGATATACCACGGGTTAAAATCCTAGAAATAATAATCAAAATTCAATATATAATCTTAAACACTAAACAAAACAAATAATATTAACAAAATAATTACAACTTAAAATTTAAAACTTTTTAGTTAAAAAGTCGACCCGCGGTGTACCGCGGGTTAAAATCTAGTCTATATATACATTTTTGGATCACAATTAGCAAATAAATCCTGAAGTTGAGAAGTATTTACAATGACATGCCATTAGCATTAATTATTTAGATTTGTTTTATTTAAGTAAAGATTTTTAATTGAAATTAATTTCTCATATATTTAGCAAAAGTCTCTACAAAATCTTTCCTTATCTATTTAAGTAAAGATTTTGGAATCAAATATGTTCTCAACAATTTACCAAAAATCTCTACACAATCTTTTTAAAAATCTTGACTTAGTTAACTTCTGATTTTTATCTGCTAAAAAAAAAATTAATTGTAACGAGTGATGTAAAAATCGGGAATGTTGATACTACAATTTCTTCTACTTTTTTTTTCATATAATTAAAATTATTTTTTAGGGATATTTTCTTAAAACTTTTAAACAAAACAAAGGGTTTCAAAAGATAGCTTCTCTTTTGGCGGGTCGACCCGCAGACCCGCAAACCCGCAACTCTCTACGTGCTTATCCGCATGAATCTGCGACCCGTAGTGGATAAAAATATTAGTCAAAAAAATAACAAATAATGTTTAATTTTACGGGACGGGGTTATATGGTGCAACGGGTTTAGATCAATATTAATATTAAACAATATACTATGGACGAAATCCTAAAATTAAAAATAAAATTTAATTATAAAATCAGAAACACTAAACAAAATAAACAATATTAACAAAACAAATACAACTTAAAATTTTGTAAAATAATTTTTTAGTTATAAAAAAATCGACCCGCGGTGTACCGCGGGGTAAAATCTAGATTTAGAAGTTTAAGAAAGAAAAATCTTTTTTAAAAAATAATAGTTCCGCAAGAAAAATATTTCTCCTAAACTGAGGCAAGAAGAAGGAGAAAGCCAAATGTCGTTTAAGTGTATATATAGATATACTATTTAAACCTAAAACACAATATAGATACTCAAAACTATTAATATAGATATATGGATGGTACATTTATAAAATAGGTCAAAATATTATATTATACTCTCTATTAATAAACAAAAATAATTATATTTAGATTTTTTTAAAAACATTATAGCCCCGCGGTGTACTGCGGGTTCAAATCTAGTTACTTAAAAATGATCTTTTAGTGATATATGTAGGATAAACAACACACAAAAATTTCACGATAATTTGCAAGGTCAGTGGGTAAATCATTAAAATTTTCTGAAATAACGATCTGGTCTTCAAGAGACCCACATACGAAGAGGGCACATGATAATCTACAAACAATAGCAGTCGGAGCTTTTTTTGAAATAGCTTACCGATCATTAAACGAGAATGAGTTCATGAACCAAACTACTAAAGATAAATGTGGGAGAACACGAACGGTGATAGTCACGTCATTACAAGTATTTTAAGATATTTTTCTTATATTAAGTTATTTACATAGTATAGAAAAACCTATTTATCTGAATATATATATTATTTTCTCCAAATATAAAATATGGTATATATTTGGGTTAATTAACAATTAATGTTCTAAAATACAGTATGTATAACCGTATATATGTGAATATATGTTGTACGCTGATAAGTCATAGTGCATTTTTGCTATACAATGTTTTTATACGGTGCAATTGTATAGTCGTATATATAATATTTATACGGTGAATACTGTATACTGTATTTTTAAAATGATTCCAAAATAAAACTATTTTTTTCAACAAAAATATATCATTCTATTAATGTTTTTGAAAATAAAATATTTGATTAAATTTTAAATATTACAATATTTTGATAGTTTTTTGTCAAAGTTGAAAATTTTAAATATTTTGTTATACAATTCCTACCGTATATCTACCGTATAACATATTTTGTGACAACTGAATATAAAAGTGTAAGAATATTGTAAGTCCCACTCGGTCGAATAAATTGAAAAAAGTGAGAAAAATAATTGAGGGGCATCGACGTACATAATTGGCTACGAAAAAGTAGCTAAGCATTTGATTGGGAGATTCTGTTTCATCATATGCCTTCTGTTTTCTTGGGAAAATATAATCTCTCTTCTGCCCATTTTTTGTTTGCTATGACAACTCTCATAACAAAATTCAAAGTTTTTTTTTAATAATCTGAAACTGATTTATTTATTATCTTCTTGCATTTTGTGAGGTGACATAAGATAGAACAAGAATTAGAGTTAGACGACAACTGATCTGATCCTCAAGCAAAGAATAGCTCAGATTTTTATCGTTACTTTAGATCATATGTGTATTTGTATTTACCTTTTTACTTCAATTAATGGTACAAGAATTAAAGTAACATTGAAGTATTTTTGTTTATGTCAACATGCATGTGTAGATTTTACTGGAGAGCAACACATTAATCATATTAGTACAAATCACTTGACTATATATTCCAATAATGTTGTAGAAGGTTTACGTGCTACTATAGTTGAATACGCATAAAAGATATTTTGAAAGTGAGATTTTCAATTTATAAAAGTAATATATGTGTAACCAATTTTTTTAAAGAATATTTAATTTGTTTGCACGTTTATTCTTGGAGTATAAGAGATTTCATTCGACCATACTCATTTGTCCTTGTCTTATAATATTTTATTTCGAGTTTTGTTAAATATTTTATCTCTTTTCTCTACTTGTTTTTGTCTTCATCCAAAAATCACCATATCTCTTCTTATCCATTTTTTTGGGTTCAGCTAGCAAGTAGCAACCCGTACAGTTGAGGAGAAAAAAAAAAAACAATTTTCTGGTATATATGTTAGTGTAACTAAAACAAATTAACTAAATATTGTGCAAACTCCAAACCATTACAATATCTATGTTAATGTAACTTAATAAATTGGTATATATATTATACAACTATGTTAGAATTTATAGTAAGATATTAGCTTAATGTTGGTATCATAATTTAAAGTCTGACCTGCAAAAATATGGGTGGATACTTTTGTTTTATATTTGGGTTTTCAGTAAGAGATTCACATGTGTGGCTTTGTAGCCATGTATGAAATATGAATGATTCCACTGCAATAAGTTATCAAAATAAGAAACGGCAATGTTTTTTTTTTATTAATTTCACTTTGAGTTATTTTATTGTTTTTGTTGATATATGCCGGCTGCGAGTTTGTTTTTGTTTTCTTGTCAACAGTCTATATGGATCACGAGATACCGCTGTTTTCTGGATAGATCATAGAAATGAAATGATAAGTTCTCCGGTACAGGATGGTTCTGTACATCATCAAGTGGAGAGCCGCCAACCATGGGAGCTGCCGAGCTGCCAACCTCCGTAAAAGTCTATCTCCATTACATACAGAAGTCGAGGCCTTTCTCTGGGCGATGAAGTGTATGATTGGTGTAGATAGTCAAGATGTAGTTTTTTTTACAGATTGTTCAGACCTGATAAAGATGGTGTCTTCTCCAACCGAATGGCCGGCGTTTTCAGTGTATTTGGAGGAATTCCAGAGCGACAAAGAAGAATTCTCAACCTTCTCTTTATCTTTGATTTCTCGTAGTGCAAATATAAAAGCGGATAATCTAACACGAAAAGTTCGTGCAAAACCCCTTCATATCACATATGTAAACAACATTCCCCAGGAATGACTCTTTTGAATTTTAATTAATTTCGGATGACAAAAAAAAAAAGTCTATATGGAAATTCTTTTTGGAGAAAGTGAGCAAATCTGAAGAGACATTGTTTACATACGTTACATAATACAGTTGTACAAGAGAGATGTATGCAAGTTTGTCCGTTTTAATACTAATTCTTCTAGAAATAAGAAAATACAAAATGTTGAAACAATGTTTCTTTGGAAAAGACACAATCTTCACCAATTCCGAGCTTCCATTTTTGAGATCAAAAAATATATTTTTTTTATTTTATATTTCTAATTCATTATTCAACAATATGTAACTGAAAAGTAAAATGAGGATATCACATTGATAAACAATGCAACGGTATTCAATTAATCTTTAATTCAAGTTTTTCTTTTTTCTTTTTAATTATAATTTTAGGTATTTCAAACCTAAACTCGATTAATCTCAGAATTCAGGACGAGACGGTTGTGAGCTTGTGCAAACCACCAACTCACGACACCTTTGGTAATCTTTACAGTTTTTGTTACTGGGGTGAAAGAAGTCCTTTAATGTGATTTTGAATGTTTTAACACGTTACTAATAACCAATTAACCAAATTGAGTGGTGGGGACATTATATGAACTTGATTGTAATCTTAGTTAAGTTTGACCAATATAATTGATATATTTTGTGCTTATATATATGTTTGTATTGTACTAGGACTTGCAAAAGCCTATATGCCAAGGTCCCAAATACAAAGCCTAAGTAAGCCCCATGCTCGAGCATGTCATTCCTTGTTTTACTTGGAAGTTGGAACTTAATTCATAATAAGGTACAATATAGTATGATCTGTTTTTAAAAATATTTTAATCAAGGGAATCTATAGGCGGTAACCATACACGATTGAAAAATTAACTGACAGATTTTGACACTGTTTGCTAGGCCTCTGTAGCAATTTGTTGACAATTAAACCCCTACCCACCTATCGAGTAAAAGCGAGAAATATTGCATGTACAGGATACGTGTGTCAGAAACGGAGATATCATATCTCTCTTCGATTGCATTTTCGAGAGAAATCATTAAGACTGCGAGAAATCGAAGGATCCGATTTTTTTGGGTTCTATATCATCTGCTTTTTATTTGTTTTCCTCCCTTTCTATATTTTCACCCTCTTTGAGTTCCTTTTTTTCTCCGTTGGTCTCATTGTTTTCTATAGTTGATTTTGATTTCTTCTCTGATCAAATTTCGGGTCTATAATCTTTCAGTTGTTTCTCTTCAATCGTGTAGTTTGTTCAAGTAAGGATTTAATTTATTAACGTTTCCATCTAATCGCCCTTTTTTCTGGGTTTAACAGTTTTTTCTTTCTGGATTTCGTAGATGGAAGATCTCGGGCTTCCTCATCGCCTTATCGCTGCTGGTGAAGAACCCCTTGGAGAGAGGGTTAATGTTTACAACAAAATGAAAACCCTAAGAGGTATTATCGATTCGTTGGATCAAACCGAGATACAGTTAATCCGAGACTCTCCTCTTGGTGGGTTGTTGGATTTTCCAAACAAGCCTGCTTGGTCCGCTAGTTTCGGCCTTAGCCTGCTCGGTCGGCAGTTGGACATCGCCAAATCAAATGAGATCTGGGTTGTTTATGCTGGGACGCCGGTTCGATTCTCTCTCCGGGAGTTTCGTCTTGTAACCGGACTTGCGTGTGGTCGTTATCCCGCTGTCCCTAAAAAAAAAAGGAAGGGGACCGCTGGGAAGGAGATTCCTTTCTATAGCACGTTGTTTGGGCTCGAGACAGATGTCACTGTTGAACGAGTTATTACAATGCTGAAGAAGAAAGTGACTGATGATCCATCATTGCGGATTCGCTATGCTATTCTTGCACTGGTTGACGGTTATCTACTGCCCACATCTCATTATCCAAAAATTGTGAAAGAGCATGCCGAAATGTCTGAGAATCTAACTTCATTTCTCGCTTACCCCTGGGGTCGTCTGACCTTTGAGATGATGATGAATTCGATTAAAGAAAGAGAACTTGAACAGCTCGCAACTACTTCGGTGGCTGTGCAAGGTTTATTATACGCCCTGCAGCTTGTTGTTCTTCAAGCCGTCCCTGCGATTCAAGAAGGTCCTGGGTTGGGAGAAGCAATTGGGTCTGAGTCTGATGAAGAGGCTGTGGAAATTATCCCTCATCAGGTGGTACCTTTTAAGCTCGGAAACGCCAAAGCAATAGATGTAAAATGTCAGGTAATAAATGGATTTTTAACCGATCCGTACTTTCTTAGCAACTAATGTGATTTTTGTTGTCTTCACATTAGCAGAAAACTTTCTTTTGGTTTAACTAATATAATTGTTACCGCATTAACTTTGTTAGGCTGTTGTCGCTCCTATAATTTGTCCTGAAGTTGTTCTTGATGATGGGGAAGATCTATCGTGGTCAGATGACGAAGTAGATCCCAGTGTAGATAAGATGGTGTCTCTCGCGGAGCAAGGTTTCAAGTTTAACAACGATATGTTTCCCGGTGGTTGCATCCCCTCTCAAGTTGTAGTAGCTCCAAAAAAACAAAAAAGATCTGCAGTATTGAAAGGTGGGCGTGTTAGGAAAGGCAAGAAGCAGGGCATAAATCAAAGAAACCCAACTGGTATCAGACGGTCCCACCAATCACCGCCGATTGAGGAGGCTTCTGCTTCTGGACCGTTTGACATGAACGAGCTATCTCGTATGTTAGATGTTAAACTCAATGCCCACTCCAAAAAGATTATCAAAGCTGTTACTGATTGGTTTCTTGCAAACACCGTCATATCTGCGGAGAATGGGAAAGAAGTTCAGTTGTCTGACAACAATCTTGCCGGTAACTCTGAAGATGATCGTGGTGACAGTCTTTTTCGCCGGCCTAGTCGCCGGACCAAAAATGCCTCTGCATCATCCCAACCGCCCCAACGGAGTGTCGATTATGATGGTACTATTGACGCTATAGCTGATTTTTATAATGTGAATTACGGCGGGGAGTTCAGTGGTCCTAGGCGAAACAATGACGTTGGCCAATCTGGTAATGGAGATCGAGTTGGCGCAGATAACAATCAGGTTAGTGGGGTATCAATATTATTTGTCTGGGATAAAGGCGATAATTAATGATGAATGAAATTTGGCTGCTAATAATTTGTATATTATTTTTGTTTATTACCCGCTAACAACGATATATTCAATAATAATGTAGACGGGGAATGAAGTTATGGGTGATTTTGCAAATGATGTAGAACTTGCCAATGGTATGGTACGGAAGGAGCCGGTAAGTATATTGAAGCATTTTCTGTATTACACGTTAACAAACAAATTATTTTTGTTTATTACCCACTAACAACGATATATTCAATAAAAATGTAGACGGGGAATGAAGTTAGGGGTGATTTTGCAAATGATGGAGAACTTGCCAATCGTATGGTAAGGAAGGAGCCGGTAAGTATATTGAAGCATTTTCTTTATTACACGTTAACAGCCAAATTATAGCAAATCACATTTTGTTTTCTATCCTTGAGTGGCTGTTTTCCAATCAAAATAGGTTGAAGTGCCTCCCCATGATGTCGATGGCAGCAATGGAGATGGAGTTGTGACTGATAATATTCAGGTTAGTGGAGTAACTTTTGTTAGTGTGTTGCCCAGAGGACGATTATTAATTTTGCGCTATATCTTACCTGCTAACATTGATGTATTCCTTTTGTTTTATTACCCGATAACAATTATATATTCAATTAAATAGAAGCCTGCAAAGGAAGTTAGTACCGATGGTTCTCCTGATGGCGAACTTGGCGATGGTATGGATATAGAAGAGCCGGTAAGTATTTTCCTGCTTTTTTTTGTTAGTCATTACTTCACAAGTTATCTGTTATCATTTTTTGTTCGCCATTATTTCCAATTTTGGCTTTCCAATCCTAATAGGCTGAAGTGCCTCCCCCTACTGTCGAGGGTAGCACTCATATTTCCAATGCTATGGCAAAAGATAGGACGGTAAGCATTGTTAAGTAATTTATATAGTACTCGTTAATATCCAACTTATCTTTATTAATTTTATGTTTGATTTTTATTGATTTACGCCTCTCCAATCAATATAGGTTGAAGTGCCACCCCCTAATGTTGTGGAAAGCAATGAGCTATCCACTGGTATGCCAACTGAGAAGACGGTAAGCATGTTAAAGCAATTTATTTATTAGTCGTTAATACAAAATTTATCTTTTATCCTTTTATGTTTGTTATTTTATTGATTTAAGCATTTCCAATCAAATTAGGTTGCATTGCACCCCCCTGTTGTTGAGGAAAGCAATGATCATTGCAATGGTATGGCAACTGATGAGACGGTAAGCCTATTAAAGCAATTTCTTTATTAGTCTTTGACAGACACGTTATATATTATCCCCTTATGTTTGCTATTTTATTGATTGGAGCTGTTCCTATCTAAATATGTTATACTTTCTATTTTGTTTCAGGGAAGTGAACAAGAGGTTGACAGTGACTCGTCAACTCAGGTTTGTTTATCCTATCTTATTAATTTGATCTGAGTACAATAAGTCATCAACTTTTTTTTTTTTTCTTTGGTGTTTAGTCCGCTAGCAGCAACCAATCCATCTCTTCGCCTGGAGATTATGCGGTTTGTTCTTATCTTGATATCTCTTATGCTATATATTTTTTTATCAGATATTTTGTATATTATCCGCTAAACTATATTGTTACATATCTTTCCAGGACCCCGAATCCCAAGGGGTGTCTCAATTGGGAAGTGATCCTATGCATGTATAGGCCCTTAAGACCAACCATTGATAATATATAAGTTACTTGGGAAACCTTTAATTGATTGCTAAATTAATAATTAACGACTTATAGGGCTCCCAAATTCAAGTTCAACCTGATGTTCATGTTTCCAACACTCCCGGGGTGGGTCAAATGGGAAGTGAGCGTCTGCAGGTATAGTCCTTCAATATTTATCATTGATAAATTATATGTTACCTTCATATTACAGTAAATGTTTGCTAAATTATTCATTACCGTGTAATTGTTTAACTTCTTTGTAATTTTTTTTTTTTTTAATTTAATGTTTCATAACATTTTTTTTTGTAGGCTCATGTTCCATCGCAGAGGAGTGTTGTTGGTTATCCAGGAGGTAGAAAGAGTAAAAGGCTCAGGACCAGATCTTCCAAGTTAGACGGAAGGTTTCAGTTTGACAAGAAAACCAAGCTATTGGTTGGGCACCCTTCTCCCATCGCAACTCTTTCTACTAGATCTATAGACCCTGATGAGCGTTTTAACAACTCCATGAAGAAACTAAAAGCTATTAGGTTTGTTGGGTTGACGTTTACTTTATAAATTTGTATGTTATCTGTTAACATACTTGATAACTAATCCATTTGTTAACTAACTAATCTTTTTTTTTTCATTGTTTAGCTCTATTTCTTTGGGCGACGATGTTTCCATTGCCAGCAAGGACATCATTGACCTTATTGACAGGAAAAAACCATTGTCTAACAAGGTAGTTTTAGCTAAAGCATATAGTTTCCCTATAAAATGTTTGTTACTAGTTATTGATGTTAACTTGTTTTCTGTCCAATAGGTTATGGATGCGCTTTTGAAGTTTAGTAGGCACATTCTGAGGACTGACGACGTCGATGGACAGAAATTGCGTGTAGATTTGCTTGATACCAAGTTTATCTCTCACTTGTGTCGTCTATTTCCAAAGTTTTCCAAAGCTCCTGTCCATGAGGATTTTCAGTTTCCAAAAGCTTTGATTGATGCTGTTGCTGGTGTGGGAGAGTTGGATCGTGCTCAGCTTTTTACTGAAGTTGATTATCTATACCTGCCATTCAACTTTGACAAAAAACATTGGGTTGCCCTAGTCGTCGAGCTTAACTGCGCAAAGATTACTGTTCTTGATTGCAATGTTCATTTGCGCACCGATGCTAGTCTCAAGATGGACCTCCAGCCACTTGCCAGAATGCTTCCCTTTCTATTTAGACAGGCGGCCTGTAATCCAACAATGAGCCAGATGTCAACGTCTCCGTTTTCCATTGAAAGGTCTCTCTGCATCCCTCAGGTTACAGCCCATGTTGATTCCGGCCTCATGACTCTTTTCCTCATTCATGGTCACGCAGCTGGTGGGATGGATGATTGTGTGGAGTTTCCACCAGATTCTATTGACGCTGAAACCAAAAAACTTGTATCTGCTATTATTCTCGCAGGTGTTCCTTAGGGCAGGGCCTATTTACGATTTGTTTTATGCACCATGAACTTGTTGCCACCCTTTTTAATTAGACATCTTATTTCTCTACTAGCCCGCGTTGGCGTTATCTGTGTAAGCAAACACTTATCGGGTTGTTTAATATTTCTCTCCTTTTAATTATGTACTGATTACATTTTCTTAAGGTTGTGTATGTGTTATACGATGGACTAAGCTCTTAAATGATTTAATATGTTAGTATGGGTTAAGAAAATACTTACCGTTTATTTTATATTCTATCATTATAATTATATAATGATTTCATAACCGATCCCCGATAATCCTTAATCTTATATAATAGACATTTTGATATAACCGTAACCCAAATTTTATGGACTAATTCTTTAGTTATCTCATTATTGTCTTGTTATCCGAATATATGAGCTAATTGGCGTTATCGGTGTAAGCAAATACTTATCGGTTTGTTTAATATTATATCCTTTTAATTATGTACTGATTACATTTTCTTAAGGTAGTGTATGTGTTATATGATGACCTAAGCTCTTACATGATTTAATATGTTAGTATCGGTTAAGAAAATACTTATCCGAATATATGAGTTAATTTTGGTTCAAGAAAATAGAAAACCTCAGATGTTGGCTAACAAAATTTAAAACCACAGATTAATTACCCTGGTTATTTTGGACAATTTTGTTTTCTTCGAAGTTAATATAAACAACAAGCTTTAACATTACGGATTAAGTTATAACTTATACAACAAGTGGTAGCATATAACGAGGGTCTTAACATAAACAACAAGTCTGAACATAAACAACAAGTCTTAAAGATTACAACGGATCACACATCCACATACCAAATTACAGGACCTTTCCGCAAAGCCATCCCACTGAAATTGATACAACCACGAGTAGACAAACTGTCTTCATCCTCGCCTCCTCCATTTGCTCTTTTGCTACTTTTAGCTCTTGCTCAACGATCTCATTGACCTTCTTCTTCATATCTTGTTCTATCTCCTTCCCCATCTTCCTTTGGACCTCTAAATTTTCCATCACCATTTTCCTTAGATCATTGACATCTCCCAAGAGTTTGTTTTCAACCATTCTAATTTCCTCTAGATGAGCATCATCAACCCAGCGGAACAGGTGTTTCTTTTTTTTATCCTACCATTTCGCCCAAATAGAAGGTTCAATCTATGTAAAGAAAAACAAAAATTTTCAAAAATCAGAACATTATATACCTTCAGGCCAGCAACGCATCTGTAGAATCTCCGATAAGGATTCTCATCTGTCGTCGAAGTGAATGTAGTAATCTCGTCACCACACCAGCACTTAATCGGAACACCTCTGCCAACTTCCCTAGTGGTAGACGTGATTTGAGACGTACGAGAAGTAGAAGAGTGACTCATCACTTGATTCTCAGTCGCTGTCGGAGAAGAAATCGCTGTCTGAGAAGAAGTTGCTGTCGGCGAAGAAGTTGATGTCGGAGAAGAAGACGAAGAAGAAGAAGCAGAGGAAGAGATTGTTACTCGGAGAAGTCTCAGTTTCTGTCGGAGAAGAAGTCGCAGTCGGAAGAGGAAGAAGAGGGTCTCGGGTGGGTGGAGAAGAATAATCCCCAATTTGATTTTGTTAGGGTTTACCGAAAAAGTCGAACCCTCTGTATCAAATAGAAGAATGATTTCTGGTTATGAGATTACCTATTGTCTAATACAACTGTTAACGTATAAATTTGTTATATTAATATCTATTAGTTTTGTTACCGATTTGTTTTTTTAAATTCCAATTATATCTCATGCAGATTTCGTAGCTTCTGTGTCTGTAGGTTTATTTACCTGCTAACACTTCAATTTGTTATGTCGTTAGGGCTAGTCACTATTATATTTGGTTCTGTTTTCTATTTTGTATGTTAATTAAATCGTATCTAAATTTTGGTAGGTTCTGTTACCGATTTCCCATGGACTGATCAAACTGTTAACGAATAAATTTGTTCCCGTAGTCACTATTATTATTGTTACCGCTTTTTTGTTTTTAATTCGAATTATATTGTGTGCAAATTTGGTAGCTTCTGTTTCCGGATGTTGATTTACCTGCTAACACTACAGTTAGATATTACGTTAGGGCTAGTTACTATTATATTTGTTAACATTTTTTAGTTTGTATGCCAATTATATCGTTTGAAAATTTTGGTAGCTTCTGTTTCCGCTGGTTAATTGACCTGAAGTTCTTTGTAGCTCCTAATGTTTTTGTCGTCCTTTGTTATTGTTGTTTTGCTGATGTGTTTTTTAATGTCAAAATTTTTGGGGCATCCACTAGCTCACCCAAACAAAAGTTTGTACTAACTTCTTGTATAACATTAACTGACTTTAAATATCGGATGGGTTACATAATTATACATAATAAGCCAATAGAATCCGCTTTGTATACATCAAAATTATTCCACCGGCTACATCATCATTATTTATTTAACATCCCGTTGAGCATTATATCTTGCCCATCGTCTTCCATCCTTTCTGTCAGTCGCCAAAAAACTTGTTTCCATTCTCGATCTACCCGTCCTGTGTAGTCATGTATCTGTTATATCTGTTTTTATAGGCTAACATGATTTTTATAAATAACGACGATAAGTTTGTTACCGTTATAGGTCCCCTGCACGTTGCGCGATTGTGCCCCAGTGAACGGCAGCGTGAGCATCGCTTTCCAGAGGTCCGCTAAATCAAGTATTTTTATCCGTTACTTATTTTCTTATATATATATCTATGCAATATCTAGATAAGTTGAATATTACCTTGAATTCTCCACTTGAAAATATCCTCCTTTTCCTTGGACGACCTGGTGGCCTTCGAACATATGGTGGCGCTAGTTTTCCTCCGCCAACGTCATTTGGTGATGGGGCTAGCGTGGCCATATCTGGGACTGGCATAATCATTTCTTTGTAAGACAACCTTAGTATCGGAACGGTGTGGTTTACTCCAACCAAGGTGTCAACCCTAATTCCTTCTCTGATTGCAGCCGCAATTGCATGGGAGCATGGAATTGTCAGTAGTTGGAACTGTCTGCATGTACAAGTTCTTTCCCACACATGTACCGCATATGCGCAATCCATCATATCCCTTACTTCATATTGCCCATCTCCTATTTTCAACACTGCGTAACCTGCTCCTTTTTCAAAGTTTTCAATGACCATTTCATTAACCTTAGGGGGCAATATGTTGTCTTCCATATTAGCTGCTTCCCGTCGTAGAGCAAACCACGTAACCAAAGTAGTTCTCCAAGACTCGAGTATTGAGATCACCGGGTAGTCTCTTGCCATTGTCAGCACATTGTTTAACGATTCTGCCACGTTGCTTGTCATCACGTTGTATCTATCCCCAACAAAATGAGAACGTGTCCAATGCTCAAACCCTATCCCAGTGAGATAGTCAGCACATGGTCCGTTCATTTCCCTTATCTCCGCAAATATTTTGTTGAAATCGCTGAGCCGGTAAGCTCTTGCTGCACTTGACACCAAACTCCCTAGTACATCAGATTTGAAGATAGCGATAATGTTTCTTTTCAAATGAACTACACATGCCGCGTGTGATGCCATTGGGTATACCTGAAGATATTTCCCCATAATACAAATGTTAGTACATCATACGTCTATTTATATAAGTATTCATTTAACCCGATAACAAATTCATTCACATATTATCCTATAAGTGAGTGACCCTCGACTATTTCTTCATTTTCCTTTATCAAGACCATTTATCAATGCCTAATTATTAATGTGTTCGTTAACACATTTTCCTAATGTTATTTAGTTGGGCAAACAAAATACATATCATATGTGTCTGTTTCTAATAATATAGGTATACTATATAAAATGCATTTTCCAATAAAAATATTTAAACAAACCAGATAATAATTGTTTTACTGCGATATGTTGTTTACCATCTGTTATTCATACCTTTCTAATGCTCGTATAGATGGAAGAGTGTCTGTCTGACACGAACACAAGGTCTGGATCGTCCGGCACAACTTCTGTTAGCTTGTTCATGAACCACGTCCACGCTTCGTCATTTTCACTATTAACAATTCCAAACGCGAGTGGAAAAACTTGGAAATTCGCATCTTGTGCGCTTGCAGCTACTAAACATCCCCCATATCGTCCTCTCAAGTGAGTTCCATCTATGACAATCACTTTTCTCATGAAGGCATACCCTTTAATCGAGGCGTGTAATGCAAAGAATAGATACTTAAACCGGATAACTCCAGAGTTATCGGTTTCAGTTTCTAGCAAAGCAAGGGAATTTGGATTTGTTGCCAACAGAAGCTTGAAGTATGGCTGGATCAATGCAAAACTCCCCATAGCCGACCCCATAGCATTGTCCATTGCTATCTCTCTAGCTCTCCATGCTTTCCAATATGAAACATTAAGACTGAATTCTTCTCGGAGCATTCTTCGTAACTCATTTGGTCTTGGACCTCTACCTACACCCACATATCGTGTCCTCATTAGCTTCCCAATTACTGCTGTTGATGCTTGCTTGTGGAAGTCTCCTCTTGCGTCAACACTACAAGTGTGCTGCAATATTGCTGTCCTGACTTCGAAACGGTCGCTATCTTCCAATTTTGCTGTGTAAACTCTCCACGGGCACGTTGTACCCACACACACCGCTATCACCATTGTTGGACATGATTTCGCATGGATGAAGTGAAACTTTCGCCGGATTGCATGTATTGCTAGTTTTGTACAGCAGTCGTCTTTATTTTTGAACAGCCTGCCTACGTAAATGTCATCACCTTCATAATCTGCATCTCTTAGCGCGCGTTGAAGATAATCTGATAATTGGAATAATTATTGTTATCATGAAATATATACAGTTACCAACTAAGAAAACATTTATCATATAAAAAATAACTGTTTTCAATTACCTTCCTCTCCCGGGTCATCAAAGTATGGAGGCGCATCCCGATCATATAACACCGTTGGAACTGGTGTCTCCCTTACTATCATTTGTCTGTTTGCCTCATTGACTTGTCCTCCAATAGATGAGCCCGATCCCTTCTCAAAGTTTCCAGTTTCATTCTCACCCCTTATGCCTTGGATGTTTCCTACTTCCACAGGGCCCTTTGGAGTCATACACAATGGTCCATCGGCATCTGTGTAGTAATTCTCCATGATATCAGTACCTGAGGAAATATATTTGTTAGTCCGTAATAATAGACTCTTAAATTATGGAACAACAATTTTCATTAACGGATAACGTACCTATTACCCCTACAGGTGATTCAATCTCAATTTCTGCTTCCATCAGATCCTCAGTCGAGAACGAAATGCTTGTCGACTGTGTTGATGGTGTACCGTACGACGAGTCCGATGACGATAATGTTAAGATTGTTGGCGCCACCCTTGTTGATGTCGTCCTTGAAAGTGATAGTCGAAGGCTATCGTCCTCAACAGGATCTTGTTCCCTCCCAGTTTCTCTGAAATCAAGGGATCTAGCAACTCTTGTCCCCTCGTTCACCTGAGGAGCTGCAGCCTGTAGTCCCCCAAGTGTCATTTCTGTTGCACAAACATCTCGCCACATTTCGGCAACGTAGTTTCTCCTGAAAGCTTCAAATTCCGCGTCTGCAGATGTTTGTGCTCCACTTACCGGTTGGTTCCCCCCTAATCCATTGGCGTGCGGCATCAGGTTTACAGTTTCATCAGTAACTTTACCCTTTCCTTTATCGTCTGCTGTTGCCTTGCGAAGCTCATTGTTATCATGAAGATTTGGTATAGATGCTCTAACAGTTGTTGCGTCTGTTGGTTCTTGTATCCTTATCCCTCCTGTTACGTTTACTCCTACGGAACCAAAATTCTCATGGCTCCCCATTTGGTTGACTCCTATTTCCCTTCCCCCGCCTGCATTCCGCGTTAATAGTCTAGTTAGTGCGCTATTCCACACACAACGGGTTTCTGCACTATTCCAGTACTTATCGGATATCTCCTCAGATGTCAATCCTCCCAGATCCAAGTGGCTCTTGAAAGAATTAACGTTCTTCTCCATCCCTCCTCTTATCACCTTAACTCGTAGGTGCACCTCTTCCAGGTCTGCTCGTATCGCCATAAACAGGGTCATATCTTCATCATCAAGGATGTCTATTGGATTAGCCCTTTTCCAGTCCGGGCCCATCATCCATTGAGGCCACTGGTAGCTGAGCTCTACATCGTCATTATCGGCCAGGGCTAACCTCTCCTTTACCGCGTTAACGACTCTTTTGTAATCATCTGTTTCTCTTAGCCGTACTGCCATCGTAAATCCTTCCAAAGCCGACACATGTTCGAAACATCCAGCGTCGTCCTTCTTCCACTCTCCGCGAACCAGACGGACTACGAAAGTCATTCGGTACCTGAGAAAACCCATGTTTTACATAATTAGTACCGAATATCAATTACATTATCACACTAATGTTAAGAACTTCAAAATAAATATGTAACGACATATATATACCTTTTGCGTATTTATTGCAGATCTTCAATTAAACCCAGAAGTTGCTTCTGTTCTTCGATACATTAACTGTGTATCAGAGCATTTATGGTGTGTTTTTTTTTTGGTTTCATCGCCAACGCTTATACTGCGGTAATTAATAGCTGAACGCAACCCTCTGATACACCCACAACCCAAGAAATATCTGTGTAATCATTTTCTTTCCTCAAGATCTTTAGTTTCCCCATAACGCCGGCGATATATTGACATATCTCAGCGTCAGTTCTGTCGGAAGCATTAAATGCTAAGATTTTATATCATAAACTAAGATTGCGTTTACTTAAACCGATTTCTGTCAGATATAGGGCTAGTATCGTCCTTTTCAAGAGAGAGAACTAAATTCATTATTTTGACTACCAGATCTTTAATTATCCGGTCGTCTGTGGTTTTAAATTTTGTTAGCCCTTTAATCAATCAAGTTTCTGAACAATTCAAACTTTTACAACGTGATCGTATAGATAAATTTAAATAGAAATTATACATGTTTCATCACAATATTACTTTATTACAATAATATATATTTTAATAATTATTATGATATTCCAACTTTTTTTTGAACAGTAATGGATGTATATATGCTTTAATAATTGATTTGATTACCTATATTAGCATTGTGTATGTATGTTATCCGTAAATTGTTTATATATATATAAAATGGGGTTTGGCGAAAAAAAAATGTATGTTTTAGCGGAAATGATTATTAGTAAGAGTTAAACGATGAAAAACAGGGAAATTTTTCGTAGTAATTAAAAAAAATTGTGAGTTTTTAACATTTCAGAATAGCAAATCAACTGTTACACGAATATTGAATCCACAAAAGAAAAGCGTTTGCGGAGTCCACAACTGGTATCAGTCAGACAAGATCGGAACGTGACAATATATTTCTGTTATATCTTGTAATTTGCAAAACAAGAGAAGAGATGTGGGTCTGCGTTGGGTGGTTTGTCAAAATAATTAGTAAGAGAAACCTTTATATCTTAAAAGCATACATTGAAGTTTCCTCTAATTCAGAAACAAATAATAAGTTGCTATGTAAATAATAGAATTCAAAAAAAAAAACAAATAATAATAATAATAATAATAATAATAGAAATCCTTTTTCTCTAAGACTTGGACATGTTGCGTTTTTGAAGAGGTTAACTAGAGATTTTTGGATGCTTTTATGATAAGAACAGCCACTTTGGATGGCTGATTGAGTTTTGCAACTAATACTATTCTCTTTGAAAATATATATTTCTCATTACTATTTTTCAAAACAATATACCAAGTTTCCAATGATTAATTTAAAATATATATTCATTTAAAATACATCAAATTTTTGTTGTAAGCCAAGAATGTATATCTGATCATCTATTTTTAACAACTATAAATAGTTTCTTTTCTAAATTTAAAATTGTTCATTTGATGTTTTAAGGAGAAACATATACATGGATCGACTATAGATTAGAAAAATTGACTGAAAACATAAAAACGAAATCAAGTGGTAGTGGTCTAGTGGTTTCGACTTGAAGAGAGGTTGCCATGTAGGTCTAGGTCAGAGATCGATTCCCCTCCAACGCAAAATTTACTAAATCACTCTATCAGGCTATACTCACCTTGAGGAGATTATTCGGATGGTAAAATTTTGGATCCTCAAAAAAAATATAAGCTAAATATGGGTTTTGCAAGATTATCATATTTTAAGAAACGGTATTTGAATCATCACGAATATTATTCTATTTAAATAAATTAATACATTTTTTTAACACCTTAAAAGTTAATACATAACAATATTTTTTTCAACACTTATGTAGTTAGTAACAATGTGAAAACGAGGCTTAAACTGGACTGGATATAGTAAACGATCATGTTTGGATTGGGCCAAGTTGTTTAGTAGTGGAAGATATAGGGATGGCCCAATTTAGGTTATGACTTCCCAAAAGTTGCAAATCTTTTAGATTGGTCCAATTTATTGATATTACATCACAAAAGAATATAATGTTGACTATACAATAGGATAATATATTACTTTTACATACAATTTTGAATATTTATTTCTACATACACAATTATAATTTGTGCGTGTAGGCTTGGGCAAAAAGCCCTGACCCGATACCCGAACCGATACCTGGACCGAAAAAACAGAGTTAGGGCGGGTTAGGGTATTAAGAAATTATCTCATTGAGTAGAGTTTTAGTCTACCCGTGGGTATCGGTTCGGGTCGGAAAATACCCGTTACCCATTTAGGGTACCCATAAACCCGAAGCTTTTTAGACATGTGTTTATATAGGGTACCCATAACTTTTGAGTTTTGACAATTGAGTTTCCTAATTTCCTTCTAGAATTCATATTCCCTCGATAATCTCTGCTTAAATTCCTTTTTTGCGTCTTATTATCGAAACTGGAAACCCTCGTCGCGACACTTTCGGCGACCTTACCGTCACCGAACATTCCGATGTCATGTGATTTTGGATTGAATTTACTTTTAACACTTAAGACTTAAGTAGTAATCTTTGTGATTTTGGATTGGATTTAGTCTTTAGATGTCATGTTTGATGTTTTGTTCTCTTTATTTGATCATTTGAGCATGTAAAATGATTTAAAACTTCGGGTATTGGAGTCATATTTTGGGTTTATGGGTAATTTTACCCATTTAGATCCGAACCCAATGGGGACCCAAATTTTTCGGGTTTTTTTGGTTCTCATACTTATTACCTAAACCGATCCGAACCCGACGATACCCGAACCGGACCGAAACCGAATCTTTAGAAATACCCAAATAGACTATAAATTCATTACCCATTCAATCCGAATGGGTTTTATCCGAACTCAAACGGGTTACCCACATGCCCAGGCCTATGTCCGTGTAAGGTGTAACCATATTGGCCATCTATATATTTTATTTTATTTTTAATGTAATTATTTTCTATTCATTTCCACAGAAGAAACATAAAACTAATATTAACTGACATAATTAAAATAAAGTGAGCCGGATCGTACTTGAAACTAAACCGGGAAATTCGATCTAAACCGGGACGAGATCCACGTCAGCAGGGTCACCGCCATCGTTTTACTTAATTCACCTTTTCTCTTATTGACTAAAGTCAAACGGTCGTTCACCGGAACCAATGGCCGGAATAAAAACTTCACCGGCGACGATTAAACTCTTCTCCGTTCTATTTCTCATCCTCACAATCACATCTCCATCACCCAAATTCGTAAATGCCTTCACTTTCCCATTCTCCTTCACACAATACAAAACCCTAATCTCAATCTCACGATCTCTCCTCCTCCGCGTCGCTAACCTACGCGCTTCACGTGGAGACGCACTGGGTTCGTCACGTGTACAAGCCATGGCTGATGAAATCGATCGTGGGTTAGGGTTAGGGTTTATAAGCAGAGCTTGGTCTGTTGGATGGGATTATATGTGGAATTACGCTTGGAGAAAGGGAGGGATTGACTACGGTGAGATGTATGGTGCGATTGGTGATCTCAATGAGCTTATGGGTTTAGTGACTGAGTTTAATAGAGCTGAATCTAATGCTGATAAAGCTAGTTCTGTTGCTCGGAGTTATGGAAAAGCTCTTCGTGTTTCGAAGCAGTTGCTTCGTCGTCTTCTTAGAATCTTTGGTAAATCGGTATGGATTCATAATAAACCCTAAAGGATTGATCTTTAGATTCATTTACACTTAGGGATTACAGAATCTGAATGAAGTAGGAGAAAAGAGTGTTACTTTGATCAACAACTAGGGTCAAAAATTGGATTTTCGATTACTGCAAATCTTGAATGTGCAGTTTCTAGTACAATTCTCTATGTATGTGTTAGAGTAGGTGAGGTTTAGAGTTGTCTCTTCTATTAGGTCTCAAGCTCACTTTGATTCTTGTAACTGATATTATTATTACACTAAATCTGCTTGAAGTAGAGAAAACGTTGATACTTTAATCATCGATTTACAAAACGAAAGCAGGGGTTGTCAAGAATTTACAGTGAAAATTTGGTTTTGATTACTGCAGATCTTGAATGTGCATTGTCTAATATTCGTTGCTGATTGGTTGTTTCTTGTGATAATTCGCTACTTGTTCTGTTATTGGAGTTATGTATATCTATGTGTTGCATAGGTGAATTTGAGAGTTGTCTGTTTTATTAGGTCTCAAGCTCACTTTGATTAGGGTTATTTGAATTTCGTAGTTGAGACTTCATTGTTGTTTTAGCTCATGCTTTGATGTCTCCTAATGTCCATGTTTGTTATTAAAGTTTGTCTTTGTCTCGAGTCATTCATTGGAGATTTACTGTATTCAATAGGCTGAACACTTATGTACATTGTTGTGTGTTTTCGTGTTATGATTGTTAGGGTGCATTGAGAGAGTTTTGGGAGATGGTGCAAGCTGAAGTAGTCGATGGAGAGTTATTACAAGACTGTCTCGAAGTAGGCGGAAACGACGTTAAGAGTTTGCTTCAAATAGCAAAGGACATGGCTCTACAGTTTTTTTCTTCTCAAAGCCGTTCCTCCGATGAACTTTAGCTACAAAGCAGAGCGCTTTCATGTACGTTCCTTCTTTCCGTTTTGTTCCACATCGGATGTGACCCTTTTGGCACGTTGTACTATCTTATGCATTAGTCAAATCCTCTAGGAAAATCCGCCAGAACCATTTTGCTCGTTACATCTTTTGCTAGATAAGTTTTAAGGGATATGTAGACTAGAAAACAATTTGTTTGTTCGTTTTATAAGTTTAAGAGATTCATAGACTAGAAACTCGAGGTTCTTTTGTAATTTCATTAACCTAAGCCCGCTTTTTGTAATCGAAAAAGTCCTGTAGATCTTGTGAATATCTTTGAAAAACACAAGTCTACCGACATCTAGAGCCATTGTAGGTATCCAACACTTGCTGTGATTGGTAAAATTTCCCCATTCATAGTTAATATTTTGTTGATAAAACTACTCAAATTCTTCTGTTTCATGGCTCTCATTGCTGGAATTTTGCCTCTATAGTAGAGGTCATAAATACAACAACTATATGGTTGGTGAATGGTGCAATGGATCTGAAAAATCAGTTTTATATTCAGACTATTTTGTTTGAACATGTTTGCTTTTTTAACTAATTTTTCTGTCATAATCCAAATTTATTGATGAATGTCATCAATTTTTTTTATAGTAACCAAATTTATTGGGATTTCTATTTTCCACACTTTCTCTCGTCTTATTAATCCTTTTGGTGACTGCTTGAATAAGAAAGTTTGAATCTTGATTTGAGTAATGTTTTGGGTCCCAATGAGTATATGCAAAACAGAGCAAATGAGAATTTAATACTTTCAACTACTCACATTTAGTTCATAAGATCATCATCATCATCATGACATGGAGCTCACTCTCTGTCTTTCATTTAATTTTACTTCCTAACACATGGCAAATCCTCAACATCATTCTTCACCGTTGATTCGACCAAGCGAGATTGATCTCAGCCGTTAGATTTAAGTATCCTAGAATGAGAGGAACATGTAATGCAAATGTGGACCCTTCAGTTCATGGTTTTATGTTTGTTACACTATGCCAATTTCATTTCAAGGACTAGTCATTTTGTTTTTTCCACATGCATTGTACTAAAATAACCAAACAAGTTAAGGTGAGTTAATTAGCTTAAAGATGTTACTGTCTTTTGTTTTTTTTGTTCAACGAAAGATGTTACTGTCTAGTGGTTTAAATCACCGTGATTTTCATATGATGAATATATAGATACTTGAACCTAAAACCTATGGAAACTGTTTTCTCTTTTTTTATAATTAAAAAACTTCGGAGAAGTTTGAAGAAAATGAAGATAGTTTTAAAGTCCAGATTGGGGATTATAATATTGCACAATGGTAGCCTCTCAACATTAAATAAGATAGTCTTGAACAATGGAATAACAATAATCATCAAACAAGAAAATAACAACTAACTTTGGATTTAAAAATGAGACCACAAAATAAAAACCATACATTTTCAAAAATACCAAAAATTGAATTTGAAAAGAGTTCTAAAAGTATTGTTAGGAGTCTTGATTGATTAACCCTCAAATTAAAGTTTGTGGTATTGATAAAACTTTTTCAAATTTTGGTAGTTTTGAAAATAAATTTTGTTTTATGGTATTTAGAATAGTATTAGTAATCTTTAACTAATTGTAAACATTCATTAAAATCGCTCAAAAGTAAAAATTCATGATTCTGCATAAGGTTATAAAAGTTATAAAATCACATAATAATTGTATTATGTCATTTTGCAATTCCACAAATGCAGAAATCAGAGTTTTAGTTTATCTACATCAGTTTCCTTCTCGAGACAAGGTTTTTAAAAACTTTATCGAGCATTGATACTTTAAGGAACCAAAGTCAACAGCTCGATTTCCAAAGCAAACATTAAAACCGAACCATCACAATGCACACACACAAGTTGGGATTCAGAGTAAAGAAAATAAACAACATTGACACAAGTAATAACTCTCTCCACCATCTTTCGCTATGTCTCTCTCTGAATCATAGATCCACCAAAAATACTCAATTATTTCACATATATAAACACACATTCATTTACTTTTACATTTATCATCCAAAATTCATAGCCGCGTGAACATTTAATGCTTCTCCAACCGTTAAACAAATAAACTTTATAAAATAACATTTTCTCATTCTCTCCATATTCTTCAAAACTATATTATATAAACACATTTTTAGTTTCTTCACAATTCACAAAACATCTCTCTCCTTCTTCTCCCTTTCACTCACTATCTTGCTCTTAGAAAAAGATGGCGAGAATGTGTTTAATGATAATGATTATGGTTGCTATGACCATGAACATTGCTAAGAGTGATCCCATTGCACCCTGTTACTTCATATTTGGTGACTCTTTGGTTGATAATGGCAATAACAATCAGCTTCAGTCATTAGCTAGAGCTAATTACTTTCCTTATGGTATTGATTTTGCTGCCGGTCCAACCGGTCGGTTTAGCAACGGCAGAACCACCGTTGATGTTATCGGTAATTCTAACTAACTATATATTTTTCTGCTTCCTTTGCTTTTTTTTTTCCTACTGAAACTAATTTTACTATGTTTCTTTGAAAAAATAGCTGAGCTTTTGGGGTTCGACGACTACATTACACCGTACGCCTCTGCTAGAGGACAAGACATTCTCCGAGGAGTTAACTATGCTTCCGCTGCTGCCGGAATCCGAGACGAAACCGGCAGACAATTGGTAAAACTATTACTATTTCTGCATTTTGATTCAGCTCCAGTTTAGAAATTACGATGGAACTAGGACCATTTTTTACCGTTCGGTTCGACGAAATTTTTGGTTTGGTTTTATTTGGTTTAAATTAACTTCAAAATTTAAAAGTATAAATAAATTAGCCATCTTCCATTACTTTAATATGATTGAATCTATTTCTAACACATTTATAACTAGAGAGTTATAATTTAAAAAAAAAAAAATTTGGATTGTATTTGGTTCGTTTAATGTTTTGGTTTTGGTCTGGTTTGATAGATTTGAATTTGGCTTATCTTATTCAAGAGTTTCTTAAAATGTGACTAGTTCTTGTTATTGTTCCTCAGGGAGGTAGAATAGCATTTGCAGGACAAGTAGCTAATCACGTGAACACTGTGTCACAAGTAGTGAACATACTTGGTGATCAAAACGAAGCCTCGAATTACCTCAGCAAATGCATTTACTCTATCGGATTAGGCAGTAACGATTATCTCAACAACTACTTCATGCCCAATTTTTACTCTACCGGTAACCAGTTCTCCCCCGAATCCTATGCCGACGATCTCGTTGCCCGTTACACCGAGCAACTCAGGGTTCGTAGTACACTCTTAACTTCTATATCCTCTGTTTCTTTAGTTTCTTGATCCTCTAAGTGAGAGATTAAGGTCTTGATGTCTATGTTTCTATGTGTGTTTTTGTGGTGGAGCAGATATTGTATACCAATGGAGCGAGGAAGTTTGCGTTGATAGGAGTCGGGGCAATCGGTTGCAGCCCGAACGAGCTAGCTCAGAACAGCAGAGATGGAAGAACGTGTGACGAAAGAATCAACTCAGCAAACAGAATCTTCAACAGCAAACTTATATCTATAGTTGACGCTTTTAACCAGAACACACCAGACGCAAAATTCACTTACATCAACGCTTATGGCATCTTCCAAGACATTGTTACAAACCCTGCTCGATACGGTAACCGATCAGTCTTAAAAATTGTGATCATAGTAAATGTTTTTCTTATGATGATTTACTCAAACTTTTGTTTAAAATTTGCAGGGTTTAGTGTGACAAATGCAGGATGTTGTGGAGTTGGGAGGAATAATGGACAGATAACTTGTCTTCCAGGTCAAGCACCATGTCTAAATAGGAATGAGTATGTGTTTTGGGATGCGTTTCACCCCGGTGAAGCTGCGAATATTGTTATCGGAAGACGATCTTTTAAGCGAGAAGCTGCTTCTGATGCTCATCCTTATGATATTCAGCAGCTAGCATCTCTCTAAAGAGGGAAAGATCTTTTGCTTGTGTAAGTGTTTTGATAGTTCCTTCAATGGCAGCTGAGTTTTGGACTCAAGAAAAAAAAAGTGATTTGGTTTGTGTTATGTGATGTCATAACTGTTTATGTAATGATTTGGAGTTACTGTTTCTCTCTATTTTTTCTTAACTCTTTTATAAACTTGATTCTTTTATTACAAATTTGTTACTTTTCTCCATATGTTAAAACAAAGTGATCCAATGAAGTAAGTTACAACCAATGTTTTAAAAACCGGACCGGATATTGATTCGGAAATGTGGTTGGGTAGTTAGTTGGTTGGATAGATCAAACTTGATTTTTACATTTATTACAGTTTTAGATAGACTGACAAAATATTTAAGAATAAAAGGACTGATAAGAAACAAACATGTAAAACTAAAATAAAGAAGAAAAGAATATGATTAGGCTTTAGAGCAAAGTTCATAGTTACTCTCTTTTTGAGTCATCAAAGAGCGTTCAGATGATAAAATGTAAAACTCTACAACACATATCTTATCATCAAAGGTATATAATAGCAGAAATGAAATTAAGAGTCTATTCATATTGGGCCTCTAATCTTGAAGATGTGATAAACATGAAGCCCAATTTTGTGTGGTTACTTTGTTTGCCAGCAAGGATTGCTGATTGTCCAACACACAGCTTTTTATTATCTTCTTTCAGATTGTTATTTCTTTTTCTGGATAGAGAGGAAAATGAGCTCCTTGGGATTTTCAGTTGGAACTTGTTCTCCTCCAAGTGAGCAAAGAAAATGCAGATTTCTTGTGAATAATAGCTTAAACAAAGCAGAGACTATTAACTTGAGAAACACGCAAAAAGCTTCTTCTGATCCTGAGTTAAGTTTTGTCCAATTATCCTCATGTGGTAGAAGAGAAGCAATTATTGGTTTTGGTTTCTCTATTGGCTTGCTTGATAATGTTTCTGCATTAGCCGAAACAACTTCTTGTGAATTCTCTGTATCTCCTTCTGGTCTTGCTTTTTGTGATAAAGTTGTTGGTTATGGTCCTGAAGCTGTTAAAGGGCAACTAATCAAGGTGATTAAGTATATCAATAATATCTCAAATTACAATTAACTTTTTGTAATTTCTTTATGATGTTTGATGATTCTTGAAAGTTTATTGCAGGCACATTATGTAGGAAAGTTGGAGAATGGGAAAGTCTTTGATAGTAGCTATAATCGAGGAAAGCCTCTAACATTTCGAATAGGTGTTGGTGAGGTAATTAAGGAAAATATAGTAATTTTGCCAATACCTATTTGTTATAACATTATGTGAAATTCAGAAAACATATAAAACTGGTTAATATTATACAGGTGATAAGAGGTTGGGACCAAGGAATCCTTGGCTCTGATGGAATTCCTCCTATGCTTACAGGTAAGCTCAATTTATTTAAATTGAACATAGCATATGTTATTGCATACATGAAACTTTAATTGCATGTATCTTTGATAGTGATTAGCAATAGGCTTAGACCGTAATACTTGAGAAATTCCGAAAAAATCTTTTGAATATGCAAAAGATATGGAAAAAAAAACTCTTCGAAGATATTTAGTAAAGTCTTAGAGAAATTATGTGTATTGGAAACACACTTATTTTGGTTTGATTCTACTTTTTTTTTTTTTTTCGGCAAATCAAATATATTATATCATAAAAAGTTTTACATGATACATGAACCATTCATTTACAACCATTGACACATATAATGTGAACATGTATTAAAATTTAAAGTCTCCAAAACTACAAATATTTAAAAGTTTTTATCCTAACCTTTATAATTTTTTTACCAAAATATTTAGATTAGTCTACATAATGTTTGAAAGAGTGTAGGGAGAGGATCCTCAAATTATGATTAACCAAATCATTGACCCAAAACCAAAATGCAAGTATAATGTCAATAGAAACATTGTTATGTTTTCATCATTTTCTTGCTCTAATTTGTTTAATTTGGTTTCTTTCTTTCAGGTGGGAAACGAACATTGAAGATTCCTCCAGAACTCGCGTATGGTGATCGAGGCGCAGGTTGCAAAGGAGGTAAAAAGAAAAGCCAAAAAGGCTAAAACCCTTTCTTGATTAATTTATTTATCAAAAAATCTCATGTTAAATTGTTAATAATTAAATTTAATTAACGAAGCCTAAACTTGCTTTCTCGCAGGCTCATGCCTTATTCCTCCAGCTTCGGTCCTTCTCTTTGACATTGAGTTCATAGGTAAAGCTTGAGAGAGAGCTTTTTTGCTTTTGCTTTGCCTTTTCTGAGCCATCATCTTGTTCAAATCAACCTTATAGAAAGAAAAAAAATGTCATTTATTTTTCTATTATGTAATCATCAAGTGAATTTCTCAGGCTTTTTTAACTTTGTTTGGTTTTATACCTTTAAAATAAGAAAATTCAACATACCAAGTAAAACTTGAAACCCAAACTCAAATCCAGAGAGATAATTTTCAAACAAAAAGTTAGTCAAAAGGTCTCTGAAATATCCAAACGTCGTATAGTGTAGCTCCCGATTTCTCAGACACTAGAAGTAGAACGGTGATAATTAAGCTAACTGAGGAACTTGAGAAGCAAGTAGATGCAGCAGTAGAAGCACTAGAAAAGGAGCGTTAAACAGAGCAAGTTGCATAACCGACTTAGTTTGTTTAGGTATAGATAGAGAGGAGAGACTATTGTAGAGATCATCATGTGTGATGTGATCATTGTGTGGTTTTAGGGTTCAGAGTTTGTGTTTTATGGTTCTTGAATGATAAGAGATGCAAACTGTAACTCCACAATCTTATCAAACGTTTAGTTGGACTTTTATTTGATTGCATTGATTAATTTGAGGGATAAAAATGTGTAAAGTAACCTACTCGAAGATAGAGACCATAAGTTAACATACAAACTTTGAACCCTAAACCTTCTTGGAGGCAAAATATTGAAGAATATACATGTTTGAGATTAGTATCGGAGTAACAAATAAAAATGACTAATCATCAAGATTAATATCTTAGATGGTGACTAATTATAAAAAGTTCTGAGAAAGAGCATCTAATATGATTTAGTACCCAAATTACATTGCCTTTGGAGGACCGGCATGATTATAGATGAAGGTGCTAGAAGAGATGAGAAGATGATTTACTGTAGTATCTCTCTATTTTTAACGTTCTTATATCTGTAATGTTCTTGTAATATGTTGTCCAAAAATTTCTTACAAAATTTGGTATATTTATAAAAGTCACCCTTTATTCTCTCTATTTTGCCGAAGTTTTTTTGATGGCTTTCAAATCGGACCGATCACTATTCACAAGGTAATGATTGGTGTCTCCGATAGGTGACTCAGTTATATTCTCTTCCACATGAACCCAAAACATTATCCAACCGCGATCTATGTTGTTTTTGCTTTTTTCGAATCTCAAAAGATCAGAAAAAGTTATGAAGTCGAAGGTTTTCCGATGATGTTAGGTTTTCATTTCTTCTTGTTAAGGTTCAGCGAGTTTGTAGTTGTATTTATGTATAGGGATTTATGTTTTTATGTTCGGAGTTTTTTTTCCTTTCATCTGTTCTAATTTTTGTAAGCCAATTCTTTTGGGAATAAAAATTCAAAGAGAACAAGATTGTTTATAGACGCAAGTCCTATAACATCTCTCAATGATTAGAACAAGTAAAAAAAATTGGTTAATCACTTTGATGATTTTAAATGAATCGTCGACATATTGAGATAATTTCTTCATAATACCTAGACTAGTCTTTCTCCCATCAAATTCGGTGTAAGATATGTAACAACTATAGAAGATAGGGACCTTAGACCGTTTTAAACATGAAGGTTTAAAGTCACGCCACGTTAAAAAAATTTCATGAGATTTTTCTTTTGAGAAAACGAATTCAACTATTTTTTTTAAAAAAAAAGCAATAAACATAAAATGCAAAAAATACAAAAAATGATTGACTTCAGCAAGAAATCATATCTAGTTAATTGATTACATCACATGAAGAAAAATTAAAAGGAAATAAAACGTAAATCTAATTTCAAAACTGCCTTCAACAATCATCATGCATAAAAATGTAATGAAAGAAAGAAAATAAAATCCGATGTGGCTTCAAAAACCTCTTTGAACACCTCATGCACAAACCATTATTTTCTGGGAAGCGAAATACGAGATATTATCAGAGCAAATGAAAAGATAGTAAATGTCTTAGTTTTGCTATAATAATATTCAAAACAAATGATGGTAAAAGCACTAATGTTTTCTAATTTTTATAGGAAGTATCTATTCATATACCATGTATATTTTCTTGATCATTGTTTACATGTAATGAGTGATTCGTTTTCTTTCGTTTGACTGTAGAAGGATTTTAAGCAGTGGATATCTCAAAAGATATATAGATATTGTCTAATTCATTACATATCTTTTTTTTTTTTTTTAAACACAAGTCTTATCCATACCACAATGACTCTTATTTGGTAATTCCAAAGTCCTATACAATAATGTAGCTTTCATCTTTGATCATGAAATTTCTGATCATCTTTCTCGCAATCATGATTCTAACTCTTTTTATTCCGTATTAGACTCAAAAATAGGGTTTCTTACTCATCACTTAACCACAACTTAGCTGCAGAGAAATGCTAAAATATCTCAACACCTGCTTGTAATATACGTATCTCTAAATGTTAGAAAAAAAATTATATAAACCTTTGGAAAAATTGCTACAAGTAATACATGTTTGAAAAATCCATATACCAAGGCAACTGACCACATATAGTCTTTTATTGTGAATCCTTCGAGTTAAGTATTCGTTCCAAACAAACATCGATTCATAGTTAGTGTGTCCTTCCTTATTGTTAGACATATTCCTTTGAAGTGTATGCATGATGTGGAAGGAATAGCTGAAGAATATATTCCTTGTGAGATCAACAGTGCATAGCAGCCTCTTGTATCTATAAAAATTCCATGGAAGATAGAATAAAACAAAAACCAAACATGATTTAGAACTTGGATAAGTAACTAATCTGAAAAGTTAACTAGATAAAACAAAGTTCACAATAATCTGAAGAAAATTAAAATGAGCTCTACCTTTTCTGATACTATCTCTTTCACATATAACATATAAAAATAAATACAACAAATAAAAGTGTCCACTATACAAATAGAAGAGAAGAATACCTAGAAATAGTAAAAAGCAAAAAGTACTACAAAAATGGTCTGACTACAGACTAATAAGAAATGAAACTCTAAACTGCTGGAATATCTCCAACAACAATGTAAAAATTAAAGAGAACCTATAACGAATACAATCACAGTTACCTCAACAATTGTTAACTTGTCTAATTGAATCATGTGACACTCTTGACTCTTATTGTGCAGATCAAAGAGGGACACAATAGAGCGAAAACGGACAACAGAATGGTCTTATATACAAGTTTTGAAGTTTCTAAATGTAACTTAATAGATAAAGGTATCAAGGTACATGTTTTCCAATTTATAAGCAGAAGTAACATAAGAAAACCTTTTCTCGTCCTTAGAATAAGCCATATTGGATAGCACAGAGGCATGCAGAATCGTGATTATCTTGCTCTTTGCAACACCATAACCTGTGTGCCCACAAAGTTCACCAAGCTTACTTCTTTTATTGATTATCAGCATGTAATGGATAATCATAACTTAGCTGCTGAGAAACAAATGAGTTATGAAAAATTGATGAATAAATATATTGCGAGGAAGAACTAAGGACTACAAGATTGAAACTCAATGAATCTAAACAAGAGATTGAGAAATTAAGTATATATTAATTACATGTTTTTTCTTAGCAAAAAAAAACTATATATATATATATATATATATATATGTTAAATTAGTATTCGAGTAATTAACGAATAAAAATGACTAATTATCAAGAATTCTGAAAAAGCATTTAATAAAAAACGAGATATAATAAAATTTAATGTACATGAATTGAATGAAACCCAAATTACATTGCCTTTGGAGGACCGACATGATTATATATGAAGGTGCTAGAAGAGATGAGAAGATGATTTTGTATCTCTCTATTTTTGATGTACTTATATCTGTAATGTTCTTGATTTATGTTGTTACTTTATCTTCGTTTAATGAATATATCAGGTAACAAAAAATGTAAAAAAGTCTTAAGTATTTACAATGTTTTCTGATTTTATTGAATATAAATCTAAATATAATGAAGAAAGTGTCGGTGTTTCCTCTTGTCGATTGTGGGAGAGGCTTCCAAAACTCTAATGTTGGTCCGGTTTTTAATAGTTTTGTTGCAGATTTATTCTCTCTTTTTGCCGAAATTTTAGTGTCGGACCAAACTGTTATTCACAAGATAACTGATGGGTGCTTCTAATAGATGGTTCAGTTGTAATATTTTCCACTCGAATCCACGACATGATCCGACCGTGATCTATATTTTTTGCAATCTTTTTTTTTTAAAAAAAATTTTGGTCAGCTCAATTACCAAAGAAAACATAAACATAAGAACAAGTTCTGAAATTACAAGGTTTTCCGATAATGTTAAATTTTCATCTGTTCTTTTTAAACTTCGGAAAATTTGTAACTGTATGAATTTTTAACAATTTAATTTTTATGTTTGGAGTTTTTATCCTTTCGTTTGTGTCAACAAAAGATTCCCCTCATTTTGGAGTAAAATTTCCGAGAGATTCAAAGTTTCAACCTCACCGACATTTTTCCCGGGACTTAAATTCACGCCGGCTTTTTGTAGTGCTTTGTCTATTGATAAAAAAACCTTGACGCAAAAAAATAAAAGAAAAAAGGCATGAACTAAAAATACTATATATATGTTAAAAAAAGGAGTAAAAATTCTGATTATATACGTAACGTAACCATGATTTGTAATTTTGTATACGTACTAGGATATGACCCGCGGTACACCACGGGTTAATTATTTGATTTTTTTATTTTTATAAATTGATGAATTTATTGTGTATAATATTTTTTATTGTATACCGCGGGTAACATGCGTTGTATCTAAAATAAAAAATTTTAAGTTGTATTTGTTTTGTTTAGTGTTTAAGATTGTATAATTGTATTTTGATTTGTTATTTATAGGATTTCACCTGTGGTATATTGTCTCGTATTAATATTGACCCAAACCCGACCAAACATATAATCTAAAATGAAATTAAACATCATTTTGTTATTTTTTTTAATAACACTTTTATTTAAATGTCATATAATTCGAGTTAATTTGAAAGTTGCTTTCAAATAGTTTCCATGTATATTTTTAAATTAGTGTGTGTTTTTGGACCAACCCGTAAAAACAATTTATAATTGTATCTTAAAATACTAATTAGGATTTCACCCGTGATATACTGTCCCATTTTAGATAATTGTAAAAATTAAAGAAAGATCCGAATGACTCAATTTCGGGTCTGAATAAAATAACGACATGATTAAATGCTCAATTTGTTCTTAAAAATGTTAATATAGATTACACATATTTTTATTCATCGATTGAGTAATATATGTCCGTTTTATAAAATTTGAATTGTAACATATGCAGAAAAAAAAAAACTAAAATTTACTAACTATTTATATATTTTATAATAATTTAAAATAATATAAATATAAGATCAAATAAAAGTGAAATAAGAATCATATATTTATGTTTAAATTAGGTAGAGAGGTTTTAGGAAATTAGTGCAAATTTGTTATATTAGCATTAAATCATCATATTTGATTTCTTTATCTATAAAAATCGTGGAGAATATACCATAAATAAAGCGTTTAAATATAGTAATTAGTTGAGAAAGTATATATATTTTAGATTTTATTAATTATTTTCGTTTTTTAATTTTGCCAAAATTTAAGGAAAGATCCGATTGAAGATTTCCGGATCAAAATTAAATAAATTTGACCCGATTTGGGTACCCAAAAACTGCTGCAAAAATGTATAGTAAATAGAAGCTTCATATTTCTTCCCAAAAAATGTCATATTTCAACACAAACAACATTAATTACATTATATAATTAAGATAATTAGATTTACTTCTGGTCTTACGGACAAGGGACAACATTGGACATACGAACATTTTATTATTATTCGTTACACACCAACTTCATTACGGGAACGGAGCACATTTCTTCATCTCAGTTTCGATTATATCAACCGCTAATCCTTTTCCGTGATGAACCCAATAATCAGCCATCAGATTTTTCCTCTCCGGTCCCATAATCCCAACTCGAGACGTCTTTAAAGATTCCGTCGAGATTCCATACTCATCGTCACGTTTCTTCAATAGCCCTGGCTTGATCTTTCCCATATTCACGTCTTGTGGTGACATCATCAGTGATGGTGCACCTAGTGGCAATTTATCCCCTGAAATTACCAAAACACACACTCAAACTTTTTAAAAAAATTATTTTGAAATTGTCGGAGAAAAAACAAATCCTACTATATATAGAAATGTCTCTATTTGTATTATATTGGTAAAAAAATGTTCAATCAGATTTCTGTCAGATTATTTTTATATATCGTAACCAATGTATATATGTTTCAATAGCACAAAGAAACTTTAATCCAAGAATTCAAAAGATATGTATATATTAATTATTTAATTACCACGATCGGTCTGCCAAGTGCACCAAAACTTCCCATAAGTTTTGGCAATATTTTGAAGCTCTGGCTTAGCTACAAGCTCAGGGACCCTTGGAGTTATTAGAAGACCTGTTTGGATCTACAACAATAAGAACAAGCCTAGTCAAATCTGAAAAGTGCCTCCAGAGATATAAATATTAACCTTAAAGTCTATATAATAAACCAAACTGAGAATAACTGATTAATTAAAGCTTATATAGAGATTAACCTCATAGTCATGAGAGTGCCAAAGCTTTTGCTCCTCTGGCGCAAGATTCTTAAATAACCTCTCCGACACAATGTACTCGATCCCTGGCAGATGTAAATACGGAACACATGAATTATACATAATAAAATATCTTTTGAACCGAAAAAAAAAAAGCATAACAAAATATCTCTTCAAAATTTACAGGCAAACGTGTTAGACTCAATACCATCTATTTGATTATGTAAATGATGAAATAGGATCTTCAATTTGAATTATTAAAAAAAATCTAACATATTAAATAAGCCCCATAAAGTTTCCTTTTTGAATGCTATGCATGCATATAAATATGTAAAGAATGACTATGATACGCATGCATACTATGACTTCAAAATTATTTTTGTATATTGAAAGAATGTTGGTGAAAATAAACATATAGATACAGACCGATGAGATGGGGTTTAGAGGAGTCGCAATCGTAAACAGCACACTGAAGAAAGTCTTGGTTGAGTCGATGAACATAGAAATTGACTTCGATCTGACGGCTAGGATCATGACCATAACAAGCGAAAGAACACAAATGGAGACTCATTTGTTTGATCGGTTTCAACGATTGCATCATCGCCGCTCCTTTATCCATCATCACGGTCTTCATCGTCTTTGGATCTCCCGGAGGTAAGTTCTCTGCTCCGTCACGTGCCGGATACGCTCCCGGACGCTCATCGCTCGACGCCATTTTGATGTCAACACACAAAACCTACCACGTTTGTTTTGTTCTTATATTATACAAACTCAAATTATCTTTCATCTTGGTTTTTTTATAAGTGATGGAATGTGCATATGTTTGGTGTCATTGTTGCATGAGGAAATTGTGACGTGGAAGACTTGAGAGGGACACGTCATTGAGTTGTTAGTGGTGATGTGGCAGAAAATGTTGGGATTTGAGATTTGTAGATGACACGTGGATATGTTAATGATGGGGATTAGTCTCTGGACACTTGGCACTTTTAATTCGATTAGGATGACATAAAAAGTGAGATGGTTAAATTGGACTCAAGAAAATTCTTCTCTCTTATCGCACCTCTATCTTTTATAGAGAGAGGGTGATTTCCGGTTTACCGGAATTCTCTTCCGCCGTTCGCGGTTTTTGTTTGTAATATACTCAGTTTTCCGATTTTAGTCGGATTTCGGTTTTCCGTTTTGTCGGATCTTTCTCCGGTTCTATCCGGTCCTATTAGCATCCATCTTAGTTTTCTAAGTTTGGATTTTTTTTTGTTCCTTTTTCTACAAGGATTAAATCAACATCCCCTTGCGATCCACTCATCTCCCCGTTTCACCGTTGGCTTGACTCCTCTCTTCTATCGGAGTAATATCTTCGTCGTAGCTTCTGACTCTGTTGAAGTCGGCGACCTCTTTAGATCATAGGCGGAGCTTCCAATTCAAGAGATCGAGTTAAGATGTGAAGATTTTTGAAGTCTTCTTGAGGTTTCTTTCTCAGACGGGACCGGTGGTCTTCAATCAGATCGGCAAAGGCGAAATCTGTAGAAGGATGGCGGTGGTGGATGCTCGAAGTCGGCGGCGGCGCTGTGTCAACTCGTGGAATTGGCCGGCATCGACTGTTTCTTTTTCCTTCTTGCGTGTTGACATGTAGTGTTGCATGTGGCACCTTCTTATCTTAATCTTTCACTAATGAGTTTAAGATTAAGCAGTTTTTTATTCTAATTAGGGTTGCAAATGTTGGAAATGGGCTTCTGTATCTTACCTCCTTGTACTGCCCATTGGGCTTTTTACCTTAATGGACTGGCCGACAAAAAAAAAAATTGGACTCAAGATCTTTTTGGTCTGTTCTCAATTTTTGTATCTCCAGGTTTTACAATTTAGAATGGTGAGTTAATCAAATGGTTTGATCAATTTGATCCAAAACTTAGACTTTATGTATTGAAAATATATGAATTCAAAATATCAAAATCTAGAAGTTATGAAAACTAAATAATATAATTAATGTAGTTATCTTTGACGTAAAACGAGTTTTAAGAGGTTTATTTTTTTTTATTTTTTTTTTTACTAAGAGGTTTATTTATAGTTGGTGAATGCAACTAAATAATACAATTCACATAAATACATTACATAATTGCATAAGTTGGATCTCATTTATGATATTAATCTATATACATATTTTTGAAAAAGATTTTGAGATAATAATATTTGGTCACAATGAATGTAAATCATTTTTTTCGGTAGTTAACAGTTTTATACACCATTAAAACATATACACTCGAATAGCTGGTTTAATTTGGTCTACGAAAAAGTTATATATTGATTTACAAATTTACATTCTCCAAATCTTTGAATACGTTTTTTTTGGGTTTAATTGTTAAGACTTTTTTTTTAACGGACAATTCTTTCCGACCTTTATTAGATCCACGACAGATGACACCTCCTTCATCTCTTTCTTCATGCTCTTGATGGACACTTCCCTCTCTGCGTAGAATCCTGGCGAACGGCTATAATTGTACATTGTTGTAGATCTCTTGCACATTTGCCTCTAATAATCTACAAATTTATTAATAAATTGCAGTATCTGGGACTTGAACCCCAGACCTCTGGGTATATAAGCATTAATTAAACTTTGATCAACCAACTGGCTAAAAAGACTTCCAATAATTGTTAAGACTTTAGATACTTTTATAATTTACGTACCATTAATAAAATGTAAGTATCTGTATATAATAAGATAAAGATCTATAAATGATACTTTTTCTATTCTGTGTTATCTATATATACATCTTGTGTGCTTAATTTAGGAAATGAATCTCAAGATTAATATAGAATTCCCAACGGTAATAATACAACGTAAACTCCGTGTAGGTCCAAACTTAAAAAAAAACAGTGCTTCCGAATCAAGCTTGCTTCGGAATCCCGAACCTAAATAAAACACATGACCGTTACACCGATCCTAATTTAAATACCACATCATCACTCTCCTCTCTCTCCCCAAAAATCTCGCAAACTCTCTCTTTCTCTCTGTTTCTTCTTCTTCAATGGCGACGAAACTCATACTCAAGAAAACGACAAAATCAATCAACCGTCACCAACGTAACTACCTCCGCCGTCACCGGAAAACTCAGATCGGATGCTCACCGTCTCCGGTGACAACCACCGTCATCGCCACCATCAACAAATCGATCTACAGATGTCACCGAAGCTTTCTCTGTTTATTTTCTCTTCCTCGAACCAAAGGATTCAAAATCCTCAAACCTCACGAAGATTTTCAAAATTCTCCGTATTCATTGTTTCACGAAAGATCTGATAAATCATTCGACGAGACGAAGAAGACGATCGTGTTAGATCTAGACGAAACTCTTGTTCATTCATCAATGGAGAAACCAGAAGTTCCTTACGATTTCGTTGTGAATCCCAAAATCGACGGTCAGATCTTAACGTTTTTCGTGATCAAACGGCCAGGAGTCGACGAGTTTTTGAAGAAGATCGGAGAAAAGTATCAGATCGTTGTTTTCACGGCGGGATTGAGAGAGTACGCGTCGTTAGTGCTCGATAAATTGGATCCAGAGCGGCGCGTGATATCGCGAAGCTTTTACAGAGACGCGTGTAGCGAAATTGATGGGAGGTTAGTGAAGGATTTAGGGTTTGTGATGAGAGATTTGAGGCGCGTGGTGATTGTTGATGATAATCCGAACTCGTACGCGCTTCAACCGGAGAATGCGTTTCCGATTAAACCGTTTTCGGATGATTTGGAAGATGTTGAGTTGAAGAAACTTGGTGAGTTTTTTGATGGTGATTGTGTTAAGTTTGAAGATATGAGAGTTGCTTTGAAGGAGTTTGTTGGAAGAGATGAATGATTTTTGGTTTAGTTTGTATTAAGAGGATTTGATTAAGAAGATAATGAACAATAGCTTTGTTTGTTCAATTAGTCTTTGTGTAAAACATCCTCGTGAAAAGCAATTTGTTAATTTGTTTGATTAGTGTTTTCTTTGTGACTGAATTAAAAGGTTTTTATGAAGATTTTGCATTTGAACAGTGGACAGAGTTTGACAAGATCAAGAACTTTTTTTGTGGGTAGAATTAAATTATGGGCCTATTGGGCTTCTTATTTTGTTCAATTGTGTGCTTTACATATCAAAAGTCAATAAAAAGGTTTTACTAATTAGCTATATTAGGTTTAAGAAAATATTAATTTTAAATAATTACGAAGTAAAGAAAAAAAAATGGATCAATATGTTTATATTTTTCTTTTCTGAAGAGTGAAATATTATTAAACAGGCCACACAATATATTTATATATCAAAAGTAGTTTTTTGTTTTGTAGCTATCAATGATTTGAGAACAAAAATGTTTATTTTTAATTTACATTTAAAGATATACTTTCTTTGGCTTTTGGGACATACTCTTAGAGATCTTTTTTTTTTTTTTTTTCATCAACTCTTAGAGATCTTTAAGATGTGTATTTTGTAAGATTTTAACATATGTTGAAAGCTAAATTATATATAAATAATAAATTACTGTGTGTCAAACTATTATGAGACTACTACTTAAGGCTTAAGACATATCCAAAAACTTGTTTTTATAATAATCCTATATAAATAGAGGTTGATGAGCAAGCGACTAAGTTGCAATCACATTCGTTTGGATCATCTATCTCCAACTTCCAATTTATTTCAATTTTTGTCATAGTTTTCTAGTTTTTGGAAAAAAATGGTTTTACTTTTTGTAAGAAGCTTGTCCAACAAAACATAAATATAATCATACATATTCGACGAAGTTAGTTATTGCCTATATGATAAACTTATTAAAGACTTGATTGAATTTTATTGTTTACAGAAGGAGGAACTTCAATTTAAGGTTGGATCTATTGACCAAGGGACTAGACTTGACGCACTACAATGTATCGCTAATTGTGAAGGTACACCAAACCGAATGGTTATAATGAGCTAAATGAAATCATTCTTGAGAGATATAGGGGTAATAATATAGATCTAGATCATTTTATTTTAGGCTTAATAATTTAGTTATTTACTTATTTTGGTAAATAACAAGAATCATAAAATTTATTTACTGAATTGACAAATAAATTGTTGTTAGTAAATGACAAAATAATAGGTATTGAAAAAACTTGGACATGAAATTTGGCGATTGACTCCCACAACATAAATTTCATAATATAGTTTGTAGCTGGATACAAAAATAAGTACACGTTAAGTTGTAAATATAGAGTCATGAGGTAATACTTGAGATTGGAAATTTATACGTTGTAATTTTAAAAAATTTCACTAAATTTTTTGGCATAAACTTCAAGTACTCTCTCTAAAAGTCTTAAAACAATTAATGTGTACAAATGTTTTTTTTTTTTTTGTTAGGAGTTGCTTTTGTTGATTTTGATGAGGAAGACACCACAATAATTGTGAAGGGAGAAAAACTCGATGAACGTAAAATTAAGAAAAAATTAGATAAATTTCTGAATGAATCTAAGGCAAGAGGAGGTTGTTTCTCTTGTTTTAGTTGCTAATAATTTTTGGAGAGGGAATTTATTAATTGGTTAGTGGAAATCAATTATCAAAATAAAATAAAATAAAAAGTCAAAAAGAAGTTTTTTTTTTTGTCAACAAAAATGCAGATTCTCATTTGTATTTTTATCCCTATTAGAAACTCAACATCATATATTCTTAATTTGATCAATAGTCAAAAGTCAAAAAGATAAACAACATTATTATGTTTTTATTTTTTTGGTCAAAATAATATGTTTTCATAATATCTATTTTTTGGTAAATTAAAAAGAAAAGAAAAGAGAGTTGGTAAATAATAAACCACCAAACCCGTCTTTTGACACAACAGTTGTTGTTGTTGTTGCCATTCATACGCGCTTCCATCAACCCTTTGGTCTTGGAAGCCAAATCAAACCTTTCAATCCTCAAAATTCGAAACTTTTCGTTTGCTTTACGTTCTCTCAATTCATATTTATAAGAAAGTCTGTTCCTTTAATCAATCAAATCAAGAGACTTTGAAGATTATTGTTTCCCAATTTGCGTCAATCGGGATCGAGTCAAATCTTCTTCCACTCATCATCTGGTATGTTTGTGACAATCCCAAAATCAGAAACATGAGAGGACAAGAAATGTTCGAATTGTTGATTTGATCCTGTCTGATTTTAAATAAGAAGCAAAAGGGTTTGGTTCGGTCATTCTCTCGTGTTGCCTTCTATTGGATTTGGATAGATTTGGGGATAAATTAAGGGTTTTGGCTTAAGGGTTCTTTGTAGATTCATTAGAAATGTTACAAAGGTGGAAACTTTTTTAGTTTCTCCCAGTCAATAAATTTCGAAGCTTGTGAGGGAAAGTCTTGGTTTTTACTGTCATTTATTACTTAGCTTCTTAAAGCTTGAGAGATCGATTCGTAGATTGATCCAAACACTTGAAAGTTGTGTTTTTGTCGAATTTTATAAACTGGAATTGTTGCAATGATTCAATCTATGGTTATCTGATTTCTGATCAATGAGTCTCTCTAGTTGAGTTTGATTTGCAACCTTTTGTTATATTCAACAGACAATAGATTGAATCAAGGGAATTGAGATTTGCGGGTTTGTTCGGGTTCTTGGATTTGAAGTGGTTAAGGGATGGATGAAAATAATGGAGGTTCAAGCTCACTTCCACCTTTCCTTACTAAAACATATGAAATGGTAGATGATTCGTCTTCTGATTCGATTGTTTCTTGGAGCGAAAACAACAAAAGTTTTATCGTCAAGAACCCAGCGGAGTTTTCAAGAGACCTTCTTCCGAAGTTCTTCAAGCATAAGAATTTCTCAAGTTTCATCCGTCAGCTTAATACATATGTAAAGTTTTTGGCTTTGTGTTCGTCTCTTTTGGAGATAGGTATTTGCTGCTTTTCCATGATTAACAATCTTTTTGCGTTTTTGTTTTCGTAGGGTTTTCGAAAAGTCGATCCTGAGAAATGGGAATTCTTGAATGATGATTTTGTTAGAGGTCGACCTTACCTTATGAAGAACATTCATAGACGAAAACCGGTTCATAGCCACTCGTTACAGAATCTACAAGCACAAAATCCTTTGACGGAATCAGAAAGACGGAGCATGGAGGATCAGATCGAAAGACTGAAAAGGGAGAAAGAAGGCCTTCTTGCGGAGTTACAGAACCAAGAGCAAGAACGGAAAGATTTCGAGCTGCAAGTAATGACATTGAAAGATCGGTTACAACATATGGAGCAACATCAGAAATCAATAGTGGCATATGTTTCACAAGTTTTGGAAAAACCAGGACTTTCTCTAAACCTCGAAAACCATGAGAGAAGAAAAAGAAGATTTCAAGAGAATTCTCTTCCTCCAAGCAGTTCACACGCAGAACAGGTCGAAAAGTTAGAATCTTCTCTAACTTTTTGGGAGAATCTTGTATCGGAATCATGCGAAAAGAGCGGTATGCAGTCATCAAGCATGGATCTTGATGCAGCTGAGTCAAGTCTCAGTATTGGCGATACCCAACCCAAATCATCAAAGATTGATATGAACTCAGAGCCACCCGTTACCGTTACCACACCTGCTCCAAAAACAGGGGTGAACGACGACTTTTGGGAACAATGTTTGACAGAAAACCCGGGATCAACAGAGCAACAAGAAGTTCAGTCAGAGAGAAGAGATGTCGATAATGATAAGGGTAATACGATTGGAAATCAAAGGACGTTTTGGTGGAATTCAGGGAATGTAAATAACAACATTACAGAGAAAGCTTCTTGATATGAATGAGGTTTTTGTAAAATAGATTTTTCTTTTGTTACTTCCTCTGAGATTATTGTATTCGTGTTCATTATTTATTACTACTCTGTTTCTCTAAAACCAAATATATCTCTATTGTTCGAGACAGGAGTTACAGAGTCGGTTTTGTTTTGTAAGCAACTAGGGAAGCATCTGAACAAAGAGAGTCACGGAGCTGAGGAAAAGAAGAAACAAATAGAATTCCAAAAAAAAAAAAAAAAAAAGCTCCGATGCCGGGAATCGAACCCGGGTCTCCTGGGTGAAAGCCAGATATCCTAACCGCTGGACGACATCGGATTTAATGTTCAGAGTACTTATATCTAATATATATTCGTTTTTTTGAGTTTTTGCCACTATTTGTTAAAAAACGATGCATTTTGTTATATGTACCACTTAATCATTTACCTAGAAAGAATATAATAAGATTCCATTTTTTACTTTTTACACATCAATGATTATTTTTGAGTTTTCACCACTCTTTGATAAAAAACGATGCAAAATAAGATTTTGTTATATGTGCCACTTGATCATTACCTAGAAAGAATATAATGCGGATTAACGAAATCTTGTTGAAAAAAAAAGATTATATAAGCAACAAAGATTACATAAAAAATCTGCGTAAAGAAGAGAAGAGAAGAAAATAAAACTATCTAGCTAGGAGAAGATCTAGTTGATAGACATTTCCCACAAGAGAGAAACTTCAACAACGAGTGTAATCGTATCCTTCTTGTTCTCACCTTCAATCTCGATAGCTACATTTCAAAGTTTCAATTTTTTCAATCAGAAATATAACAAATAGAGTCATATGTATAAAGATTTGAGAGAAATTGAATGTTTACCTTGCGACGAGTGGTTCTTGATGGTTTCCAACATATCAAGCTTCTTGAACTTGGTTCTAGTTTCCTGTAAAATCAACGAATTATCAAACAAACATGTTTTAAAACAAATCAAAGGAACAAGTTTTGGTTAATGTTCTTACAAATTCTCTTGTTCAAGCTTATTTGCAATCTCCACAGCTTTGTGTTTCGACCAACTGTTTCCTTCAGCTTGTTTAATCACTTGAGCCAAAGAAACTTTTCCTCTCACAATGCTTTGGTTCTGATTCTGGTTTTGACTTGCTTCCAAGTGTTTCCTCCTAACTCGAGTCATTGGAGATTCAGATTCAGCCACTTCAACGATTTCGCTTCTTCCGCTTTCACGGAATCTCTCACCGTTGCTTAAACCTTGTAATGACGATAAATCGACGTTTTTCGGTTGTTTCTTTGACTCGATTCTGAACTCCAACGTGACTGGAGATCCAAGAACCGCCTCAAACGCTTTCAAAATGTTGTCTTTGAAATTCTCAGCCGTTGATTTCGCTATTGGCGAATTGAACAATAGCTGCACCGTAGGAGCTGCGAAAGATAAGAAGTTCGAATCATCAAACATAAACGGTTTAGAAAAAGCTTTTTTTAATATGATCAATGTTCTGTATATGCATTTACCTGAGCCGATACTAATCGAAAAGATCTTCCCTTCTTTATAAAGAAACTCTTTTAAACCGTTAACTCGAACTTTCTCAATAACCGCTAACCAAATATCTTCAACCGAAGGTCGGTTTTTGCAACTGAAACCTTGCATACTACCATCTCTTCTTGTTCCGGCTACAGCGTCATTTGAAGGATCCGAATCCATTATTGGAGTATGGTTAAAGCTAGCATCAGCGGAAGAACTATGTGGAAGCAAGTACTGTTTATCAGGAGCTAGCTGGAGCAATGCAGCAGTGAGCCAAGTTAGTTTATCGCTCGATACTCTCAACTGTTTTTCTGATTCAGATAGTGTTTTTAAAGCTTGCTTCAGCTTCTCCATATCTTCTTTAGACACTGCAACAACGAAAAAAATCGGTTATTATAGTTACAAATATTTCTCATTTAGGATGATAGAAATGTATGAAACTCACGTGGTTGTCGCCGGAAAAACTTTCTTTTACATTGGTCTTTAGTGAAATCATAGCTTCCCGCGAGGATATCAGTTATGACGGTTGCCAGCTGTGACATCAAAGCTAATGGTTCTAGGCCGGTTTCCATTATTATTCTTAGGTTCTTTACGGTGTTTACAGTATCCGCGGATAAGGCTAGATCAAGAAGATCAACTAATTTCTCATCAGATATTAACCCAACCTGAAAGAAAACAAGAACATAATGAGAAAAAATGTCAATGGAAATTATAGAAATAATTCTGATCGTTACCATTTCTTGAACTAAAGGAACAGATACTCTTGTGCCAAGCAAACTCAGCTGTTCTAGAGTCATTTCCGCGTCTCTCAAGGAACCATCTGATCTCGAAGCAACAAGCTTTAACGCATCTTTTTCGATATCAATCTCTTCTTTTGATGCAATAAGTTGCAAAGAATTGATGATATCTGCGTCTTTGAGCTTAGGGAAAAAGAATTTCTGGCACCTCGAAACAATAATGTGAGGCAAAACATCAAGACTCGAACATACAAGAATGAAAACCACACGACGAGGTGCTCGATCCACTATTTTCGAAAGCGCATTCCAACAATCTGTTGACATAGTATCACAATCATCGAATATGAACACAAGCTGCTGCCTTTGCTGCTGACGAATGTTCATTTTATCGAGCAAATTCTCGAAGTCGAAACTTTTTACAGGTCCCATTTCCCGAATGTACCGGTTCTTACCACCATCATAAGAAACACACGAACCGCATACGCCGCAAGGCTTTGATTGTTCTGTAGAATGGCAGTTCAAAGCTCTAGCAAATATCCGAGCACAAGATGTTTTTCCGGTTCCATTTGGACCATGGAATACGTAAAGAAGTCCAACTCTTCGTTTAGCAACAGCGTTAGATAGAGCTTGTACAACCAGATTCTGTCCCAAAAGATCCCGGAATGTTCTTGGAGCGTACTTCTGCGTAAAACTTTGATGCCACCGAGCATTTTTACGGCTGCTCTTCTTACCAAAGCCTGAATCTTTTCCATTCTTGAGCAAATTGTCGGCGAAGATACCCAATTCACCCGAGTAATCATGCACCCATTCTTCATTCTCTGCGCTATCGACTAAAAGAGGTGACGCCTCGCGATCAGAGGAGCTTGAATCAGACAACATTGGCCTACCAAGTTCGCCTTTCCTTCCCTTTGAATCAGACATTCCACAAGATAAACTTCTACCAGCTATATCAAGAAAAGTTTTACCTCTATGATGAATTCTTGACCAATTAAACGGTATTCCACAACCGTTTCTCGGAACAGCTCCACTCATGTTCTGTTCTCTATCTCTTCCTCCTCCTTCTTCTCCCTCATACTTCTCACCACGAGGCACCGAGTTTGAAGCAATAGCCATCTCACTCTCATTACCAGCATTGTCTCTAACAATAACCGCCCGTCCCGCTCTCCTCGTCCCTCTAAACTTCCGTCTTTTTCGCCCATTACAGCGCGGTCCAACATTACAAGAAACTAAATCATCACTATCACCTCCAACCTCATTTAACTGATCAGACAAAGTCTTGAAAATACCCTCATTAACCTTATTAACCCTATCTTTCGATACCGATTTCACCGAAGCAACACTATAAAACTCATTCACATCTTCTACTCCATAACTCTTCCTACTCGACCTATCAAACTTTTCATCAGAAGGAGTTACTTTAGATGTCCCAAAACTCACAATTGGAGAAGAACCAGACAACCTAAGACCAGATCTTCTTCTTCCCTCACGTGAATCCTTATGATCTTCTCTCAACTTCGGGCTCGCTGATGGGTCACGAAGTGATGTTGATCTCTGGAGAACGACAAGATCTCTCATAAGAAGAGACCGGTCGTTTAAAACCGGACTCTGTTTGTTGTTGTGCATATGATTCTTCAAGTGAATACAGTTGGTTAAATGAATATGGTTACGAAGATGCTCACCGATATCTCCATTAGAATCTTTCAGAATCCGAGAAGAAGAAACCCTACTCATGAATACGATCACAAATGCTCTGTTTTCTTCGATAGGATCTTGTCTAAGTATCTATAGAAGAACCAAATCAAGCTGTATCTCATTTTCTTTTGAGTAATCTTTGAAGTTTCCAAATTTGAAAACGATTTCACTGACTTTAGTAATAACTAATAAGCCCTAATTTCCTCAAGATTCACTTAACTTGCCAATCAAAAAACTCCCCAAAATCCGAAATTTAAGGACCCATTTGAGTAAAAATGTAAACTTTTTTGAGCTATGTGCTTCTTCCAGTACACGAAAACATTTGAAAGAAACCCAGAATGCTAAAATCTCAAAAAGCTCTGTTTCTTTTTAGAAAAGATTCAAACTTTACTATTTGAGACAAGCAAACAAATAGTAAAAGAAGAAACCGTTCTTAAAAGCAGTCACAGATGTCTCTCCTCTTTTTCTTACTTTCTTTCTTTACCAAACATTCACATGGCAGGAAAAGGAAAACACAGTTATCGAGTGTAGAGTGAGAGAGAGAGAGAGAGAGAGAAAGAGTGGGAATCTTGAGAGAGAGGTTTGATGGGTTTTTGTATTTTGAGATCTGTTTACGGACACGAACACAGAGGCAATGGAGAAGAAGCAGAGCACATTGCCAATAAAGCGGTTTGTCCGTTTCCGGGAAGTGAAAAAGATATTAAAAATTACATATTTTAAAAATAAATTGTTGGGAAAATATATTAAAAAAAAATATTTGGTTGGGTTTTGAAAAAAAATGAGACCAAAGAGTTTGTACCTTTGAATTTGGGAAAAATATCGTTAAAATCCCAATTTATTCAAAACGTTGATTTAAATCCTCAATTCACGACGAAACGAAATAAATATCAAACTTATGTTGACTTTTTAAATAAATATTAAACTTATGTCGACTTTTCAAATAAACACCAAACTTTCATTGACTTGGCCATATTAGGCATGACGTTAAGTGAGTTAACAGACAATGTTAACGGGATTAATTCTCTGTTAACAGACCCGCTAATTAAAAATGACAGTATTATTGAACTATAATCAAATCTCATCTATATATAACCTAAATTCGTATTTCATATAAATTAGTTATTTACGTAAGTCACGAATGTACGTATACATTCGTATAATTGTGTCTGTTCGTAAAGTTGTGTC